AGGTCCCAGCAGAGGGTAAGACGCCAGCACCGGGGGGGGTCTTAGGCAAGCATAATATGTATGCAAATGTAAAATGTCGCTTCTAAGCCTCCCCTGTGAACATACGCTTAAGAGGATCCTTATATCCTGTGGGAGTGAAGCAACTCTGGGGAGGAGAAGGAAGGAAGGAAGGAAGACAGTGAAGAGGGAGGAAGGAAGGAAGGAAAGAAGATGAATAGTGAAAAGGAAGGAAGACAGATAATGAAGAAGAAAGAAGGAAAGAAGAAAAAATATCTCAATGAAAAAGTAAAATAAATTATGGTTAAAAAGATAAATTGGAAAAGAAATTTTTTTTTAATGAATTTATGGTAAAAAAAATCGTATACTGAAGAACTATATCACAAGGAAGCTATTCCCATATACCTGTTGACCCATTAGGAGAAGGTGAGATTCAGGGCACGTCAGGACACGTCGGGAGCACGTCAGGGGCATGTCAGGATACGTCAGGACACACCAGGATACACCAGGGGCATGACAGGACACGTCAGGACACACCAGGGGCACGTCAGGACACGTCAGGACACACCAGGATACGCCAGGACACACCAGGATACGCCAGGACACGTCAGGACACACCAGGATGCCAGAACACGTCAGACACACCAGGACACGCCAGGACACACCAGGATACGCCAGGACACGTCAGGACACACCAGGACACGCCAGGACACACCAGCATACGCCAGGACACGCCAGACACACCAGGATACGCCAGGACACGTCAGACACACCAGGATACGCCAGGACACGTCCACACCAGGATACGCCAGGACACGTCAGGACACACAGGATACGCCAGGACACGTCAGGACACACCAGGATACGCCAGACACGTCAGGACACACCAGGACGCAGAACAAGCAGACAGGACACGTCACAGACACACCAGGACACACAGGACACACCAGGATACGCCAGACACACCAGGACACGTCAGGACACACCAGGACACGCCAGGACACACCCAGGATACACCAGAACACGTCAGGACACACCAGGACACACAGACACGTCAGGACACACCAGGACACACCAGACACTCAGACACACCAGGACACACCAGGACACGCCAGGAAGAAAGTCATCAGCAACGACGTAAAAAATTAAGAAACTGGTAAAACTAATTTAGGAAACTTACCTGGCCATCACTCCCACTCCATCGTCACTCCCACTCCACCGTCACTCCCACTCCACCGTCACTCCCACTCCACCGTCACTCCCACTCCACCGTCACTCCCACTCCACCGTCACTCCCACTCCACCGTCACTCCCACTCCATCGTCACTCCCACTCCACCGTCACTCCCACTCCACCGTCACTCCCACTCCACCGTCACTCCCACTCCACCATCACCGGCACTCCCACTCCTCAATTTATACGATACTTTTAATTGTGTAGAAGAAATTCGATATTTTTGTTTTTCATTTGTAGTCAATGATCATGTTTCTGTTAGGTAATTAATATGCAAATTAGGATGATAGAACTGTATGATTAACGAATGATAAGAGAGATAGAGATAATTACTGTATTACCATCAACGTAATATAAAAAGGACGTTTGTGTATTGTTTTAAGTTCGGTTTTAATTTCGGTTTTATCGTAAGTTCGGTTCAATTTTATGTTTGGTTTTATCTTAAGTTCGGTTCGATTTTATGTTCGGTTATATTTTATGTTTGGTTCTATCTTAAGTTCGGTTCTGGCCTCTTCATGTGGGCTGTATATCTAAAGTTGACATTTTCGGCTTTGTGAATCGCATCAAATTGTAAACAGGTTATATATATATCAGCTAAAATTAATATATACAACAGCAACACAAAGCACAGTAGCAACACAAAGAGCAGTAGCAACACAAGTCACAGTAGCAACATAAGGAGCAGTAACAGTAGCACAGTTAATAGAACCTACAGAACACGGAACCAAAATAAAACCTAGAAGATAATGTCACAAGATACTGAAAGAGGAGGGTGATAGATTTAAGTTCACAGCAGCAACAGGTAACGACGGCAAGACTACCTAGGATAATATAAACGACAAGAACAACAGTAACGCGATTGTCTAAGGCCTGGAGGATAGAGAGAGAGAGAGAGAGAGAGAGAGAGAGAGAGAGAGAGAGGGGGGGGGTTGGGAGTAGGGGTAGGGATGGGAAGCTCAGCCAACCTTTCATAATCCAAATATCGCTGACGTCTACACCATAACCTATCCCGTTTAAAGGTTGGTTAGATATGGGAGTCTGGAATATGGAAGGGAGGAATGGGAGAGAGGGAGGGAATGGGAGGGAGTGGAAGAGAGAAGGGGGAGAATAAACGAGACCTCTATCTCTCTCTCCCTTTCTATCTCTCCCCTAAATCTCTTAACACCCCCTTCCCCTTCCTCCCCATTAACACCCCCTTCCCCTTCCTCCCCATGCTAGAGAAAAGGGGAGAGGCTACTGAATGCAGATCACCATGTACTAATCACCAAACACTGGGAAAATTAATTGAAGTTTTATTTCTGTTTTTGGAATAGTCTCTCACGTGAAGAAACTGGAGGTAAATAATGCAGTAAATATTGAAAACTAGATGCTAATAACTGTTTCAGGAAAGAGGGTTCTGAAGTGGGTAAAGGGTGGCGTCTGTGACCTAGGAAAAGGATTCAGCATTTTAAATATTTGTGAGAGAGAGAGAGAGAGAGAGAGAGAGAGAGAGAGAGAGAGAGAGAGAGAGAGAGAGAGAGAGAGAGAGAGAGACCCCTTCACCACACAATAACAAAGTTTTACTACTGTACACCTGCAGTTTATAGACCTTTCACCTGGGCTTCATATTTTTCATGATTCGTGATGTAGTGACGGAGAATGTGGTTGCATGGTGTACGTTCATGTGTGCGTTACCTATTGCTTTGTGTAGTGTGTGTATGTGTGAGTGTGTTACTGTGTGTATATGTGTTACTGTATGTGTGTATGTGTGGGGGGTGTGTTTTGTTGTGTGTGTTTTAGCGAGGGTGTTTTTGTGTGTATGTATATTTAAGTCTCTGTGTATGGTATTGTTTGTCTGTGTGTACGTGTATGAGTGTACATGACTGTGTGTGTGTGTGTGTGTGTGTGTGTGTGCGCGATGGAGCTATGCAAATAAACTGTCCCAGTGGTAACAATACAAGTAAATTATTACAATCCCCAGCAGTACAATGGATCGACACATCCTAGTAATGAACCCGGACTGATACCCACACACCCCCATACACCCCAACACACCCTAACACACCCCAACACACCCCAACACACCCTAACACTCCACTCAACACACCCCAACACTCCACCAACACACCCCAACACTCCACCAACATACCCCAACAACACACCCCAACACACCCCCCAACACACCCCCCAACACACCCCCAACACACCTCTTGTCAAAAGCTCCATTCCATTTTGACAGTTGAAACATTCGTCCACTGAGTAAAAGAAATATTGACGTAAAAATGGGTCCTCACTCTGCCTGACTCTTGTCCACACACACACACACACACACACACACACACACACACACACACACACACACACCGCTACACGTTTGCATCCCGAGGTGTGTGTGTTTTGTTTGGGACGCTGTTAGAGTGTGTTGTAGGCTTGGCTTGGCTTGGCTTTACACAACACACCTGAAACACGTAATGTAGTCAGAAGCCTCTAGTTATTTTGTTACCTGTCCTAACACGCCACTAGCGATGCTTCCTGTGAGACGTACACAACACACCTCGTCGTCATTTGCATATGCAAGTTCATTAAGAACTCAAGGGGTGGAAGGTGGCTGGCAGGTGCTTGTGTCTATCTTGGTGGATGCTGGCAGCGGGAGACCAGTTAAATAATGCTTATTCTGGCCATTAAGAGAATCACACAACGTCATTAAAGAAGGTAATTAAAGACTAGGGTACGAGCCATGTATAATGAAGAGCAAAACAAATCATTTCAGCACCAAAATTAATGGAGGTAATTGATGAATAATTTAGCTATTTTTAATTCTAATAAATATGAAATACGGATTTTTTTTATAATTTGGAAAGTAGTTTTGAAAAGTAAACACTGGCAATTTTGTTTACAGCTGGAGCCATACATACATACATACATACATACATACATACATACATACATACATACATACATACATACATACATACATACAAAGCATTCAACTCATTCTGACAACACCACCTGACAATATCATAAAAAAATAACAAAAAACACTGAAATACAATAATCTTTTTTACAGTTATAAGACCAAATGATACCGACAGTCACCAATACCCCGTAGCGGCCATACACCTTCACCATTAAACAGGGAAATGCATTTATTCTGTTGTTTTAAAAGAATTCTCTGTTAGACTTCATATATCAGTAATGTTTGGCTGCTATTTTTTTTAGAGTATAAACTGACTGGAATTTTTTTTTTTAATTTAGTAGTTATGGATCATAAAATTTGGCCGGAGAGAGAGAGAGAAATTTTATTTATATTATTTTAATGTTAATATTGTTGATTACTGTGTTGAACCATCGTCGCATACTAACCAGGCTACTGAACACACACACACACACACACACACACACACACACACACACACACACACACATACACACACACACACACACACACACACACACACACACACACACACACACACGCACACACACACCACACACACACACACACACACACACACACACACACACACACACACAGGTAATCACGGTTTCATAACACTGCTTTAATGTATTCTTGTTATTATTTATGACTCACGCAAGCCAGCAGTCCAGCTATGTGTGTGTGTGTGTGTGTGTGTGTGTGTGTGTGTGTGTGTGTGTGTGTGTGTGTGTGTGTGTGTGTGTGTGTGTGTGTGTGTGTGTGTGTGTGTGTGTCCGGTATATATTATTGGCAATCAACTTTGCTGTTGTATTGTTCCCACACCTCTAACACCGCCCTTTGTTCCTCCTGACAGTCTCGGCGACACAGGGACGCGACGCCCTACATTGATGACGACTCTCACCAGCTGTGGTCGTCAGAGGCAGTGGACCTCCTGGAGGGTGAGCAGGTGGACTCTCATCTCCTGGAGCACCATGGTAAGTGGCTTCACCTGCTGTTTACCTGATGTGTGCTGCAGGTAATTCAAGGGGTTCGACTTTAATAGAATTCCAGATGGTGGTATACATACGGAGTGAGTTGTGTATACATAGGGAGTGAGTTGTGTATACATAGGGAGTGAGTTGTGTATACATAGGGAGTGAGTTGTGTATACATAGGGAGTGAGTTGTGTATACATAGGGAGTGAGTTATTAGGGGAGTGAGTTGTGTATACATAGGGAGTGAGTTGTGTATACATAGGGAGTGAGTTGTGTATACATAGGGAGTGAGTTGTGTATACATAGGGAGTGAGTTGTGTATACATAGGGAGTGAGTTGTGTATACATAGGTAGTGAGTTGTGTATACATAGGGAGTGAGTTGTGTATACATAGGGAGTGAGTTGTGTATACATAGGTAGTGAGTTGTGTATACATAGGGAGTGAGTTGTGTATACATAATGAGTTAGTTGTGTATACATAGGGAGTGAGTTGTGTATACATAATGAGTTAGTTGTGTATACATAGATAGTGAGTTGTGGTAAGATGAAGGTCGGTGAATGGAAGGAAGAGGAGGAGTGGATGACTAAGAAAATGGATAAATATAGTAAAGAACACATTATAAGGATGGGGGGGACATCCACACACACACACACACACACACACACACACTATTGAGGTCAGATACCTGGCAATCAGGAAAGAGTGAAAAATTAATTGGCTGTACATTATAAATATTATGACTCAAAGGCTTGGGATAAGTACAGCTGGGGGGGGAGGGAGGGGAGGAGGGGTGAGGGGAGGGGTGTGTGTGTGTGTGTGTGTGTGTGTGTGTGTGTGTGTGTGTGTGTGTGTGTGTGTGTGTGTGTGTGTGTGTGTGTGTGTGTGTGTGTGTGTGTGTGTGTGTGTGTGTGTGTGTGTAAAAGCTAACAAAACACAGCTAAAAATAATAAACACTTACGTTGTTTTGTCTTCCTGGCAGATCCATGTCAAGCTCATTTCTGTGAACGAGGTCGCGTGTGTCGTCTGGATCACATGAGCGAGCCACAGTGTGAGTGCCAACCCTTCTGCTCCAGGCACCGTAAGCTGGTCTGTGGCACCGATGGTCGCCTCTACCTCAACCACTGTGAGTTACATCGCGCCGCATGCGTCACAGGAGCCAAAATCCACATTGACAGAAGCCGGAAATGTTTCAGAAAAGGTGAGATATTTAGTTTACGTTTCAGAAATGGTGACCTTTAAAACACCTGTGACTGTCTGCTTGAGGTCATGTCTCAGAAGATGTCAACAAATCCTTAAGGGAGAAATAACTTAATACCTAAACCTTCTTAATAAACAATAATATCTCCTATCAGACACACAAACATACAGACACATAATTTACCTAAAAAAAAAAAAAAAAAAAAAAAATCATGTTTCCCAGTTCATCTTCGTCAGGAAATGAAGAGAGCTTTGAGTTATTCCTCCACTGGGTGACTTTTGGGGGGAGTTTATTAACGAATGGCGGTGTTGACGGCAGGAAGCAGGTCCTCGGGGTATATCTGTCGATGTAGTGGCAAAAAGAGTGAATATTAATGGTGCTTGCGTCTGAAAATTAAAGGTGTGTTGCCAGGCCGACCACGATGTCCTGCATATGTGAGAGGTGAACGAGAGAGAGAGAGAGAGAGAGAGAGAGAGAGAGAGAGAGAGAGAGAGAGGACCAAAATAAGAAAATATACTGAAAATAACTCTCGAAATGGGTTGAAGAATTATCTCCGGATTATAAAACAGAAATGACAGAAAAATAAAATCCGTTCCAGGTACACGAAGAGCGAAGGTTAGTTACATATAAAAGAGTATTGCTCACCTCCAACCTGTATTATTATTAGAGAAATGATTAAATACCTCTACTATTACCCACCAGGAATTATTAATCTAACCATTCCTAAGATTCCCACCTGAGGCTCTTGACAAAGGTGGGAATATTCTTTTATAAGTAGTAATATTAAGGACTATGTAAATATTGTATTTTTATGCGATATATTTAATTATTTACTAAAGCAGAGTGATATTTCCATCTTTCCTCTTTTGTTTACATAAAAAATCATCAACACATACGTCCATCACAACAGAGTGTTATGAGGTATATGGACCTTTTACCTTTAAGGAACGCCAGCTTAGATTCAAGGGTGTGTTCAAGAGTGTGAGGTACTTATTTACCGACCCAAACACACATGGGTGCTACTGACTTGTCTGCTGAGGCTTGGTACTGTACCTACCTGAGAGAGAGTTGGTCAGTTCTGTTGTGAAAGTTGAGTGTTTATGCCGGGTGAGTCGTGATGTATGTATGTATGTATGTATGTATGGTCGCTAATATATATTAATGCCGGTTTACACTAAAGAAGTCACACTAGTACTTTTGGAGTCAAGCTTCCTATTTTCTATTTGTTTTTCACGAGTCGTCACATTTCCCAGAGCGTATCACACTCAGAAGACACTGATCATTTTTCCCTGATTGGTTAGTGCTGATTTCCTTGATCAAGTCATTATCTATATTCGCTAATGAGGATAGTTATATAAAGTAAACTATCGTCTATTGAGTCACGTGAAATAATAATACTAAATTTTAAAAGTATTCTAAGGGATTTTTTTGTACTGATAATATTCTTAATTACATCTGATATGTTTCTACTGTAATGACCATCAGAATAATTCCAATGCTTTAAAGACGCCAATTACGTCATTCTTATAGTTTATTAAAGACCTTTGAGGTTTTATTATTAATATTGAATTTACTGAACTCTTTTATTTCATTGATTTTCAGTTTCAAGACGAATTTTTCTTTCGACTTAAAAAACAAACTGACCTCATATATATTTATTTAATTATTCGGTTTTCCATTTTGAATTGTGGCCCTTCATTGTAAATTGGACCATTAAGTGTGGCCCACATCACACATTAGACCATTAAATGTGGCCCACATCACACATTAAGACCATTTAAGTGGCCCCGGGACCATGGACCCCCGGGTTCCAAGCTAAAGCCACAAAGACTTGATTGTGTGGCTTATTTACAGTTCCCTTCACTACCTCGTTTACAGAGAGTCGACACAGTCCCCTTCACTAGTGCGTTTACAGGGGGTCGTCAGGTTTAGTGCAGTGTGGCAGCCTTGTGTTTGTTTACATTCGACAATAGAAAACTCACAACAGAAAACAATATGGAATAAAATTGAAACATTAAAACAAATATCTCAATGTACTGATTTGTGGAATGTTTATATGATGACCCCATGTAAATGCACTAGTGAAGGGGACTGTGACGACCCCCTGTAAATGCACAAGTGAAGGGGACTGTGACGACCCCCTGTAAACGCACTAGTGAAGGGGACTGTGACGACCCCCTGTAAACGCACTAGTGAAGGGGACTGTGACGACCCCCTGTAAACGCACTAGTGAAGGGGACTGTACATTAAATACAGATACGAGTTAGTTATCTTTTACTTATATAAACTATCTGAATATTGCGGCAGATCTGAGGTAGAAGATAACTGGTAATAAGTTGAGAAATTTCAAGCTATTTTTGTCACAGCCTGAAGGAAGAAAATCAAATTAGTCTTTCAAAGGATAAACTGTTTTAGTTCAACAGTTTCAACAACAATGTTAGAAATGATCAGGTAAATCATTTATATGAATAAGAGGAAATCATAAACTCCCGGAGATTATATATTAGGAAATTCTCAAACATGACAATAAATATTTTAGATTTGCTTCAACTAAAACACAATTCTCGTTCTCGTGGTTGTTGGAGCATTTTAATTACATTTATCTAACTAACTACTCACCACTATTTTAAAATGTTGACCCAGATCCTTAACCAACATGCTCAGGGTAACCTTTACACGATTAATTATCTGGCTTCAATGTTTTATACTTCGACTAATTAGATTTAATTAATGACTTGACATAATTAAATACATATAGAGTATTTAAAACGTCAATTACGTTGTGGCCGTCAGTTTAACTTAACACAAAATGCCGTGTGCCTCTCTGAAAATGCCTTACCTATTACAGACCCTGAATCAGGATCTGCGTTTGAAATGTTGAAATTCTGATAAATAATTGTCCTGATTACTAGAATAACATTTAATTATCAGAATTTCATCTTTTTGGCTACTGGTACTTAATCTGAGCCTCGAGGTTGATTGATTGTAGCAGCCTGTGGCCATCTGACGCTGAGCTGAGTCGAGGATGACCTATACGGAGATTTAAAAAAATAAATTCACACAAAAAAGTAAAATTTTGTTAGAAGTCTCAATATGGTTACTCAACATGTTAATTAAAAGGTCCTACCTCCCCCTCCCCCTCGCTCCTTCCCCTTTCCTCTTCCCCCTCCCACCTTTCCCTTTCCCCTCCCACTCCATCACGTCGCCTCTTAATGGTAATCTTCCACAAAACTCGGAGACTCAAATTTATTCTTCCTCATCCCGGTAATAAGATCTCAACCCGAGACTTTACTGGTGGCATCAGCCTAACTCATGAGCCGGGTGACGTAGGTTATGACTTGGGACACCTTCGGTCTAGTCCTCCTCGGTCTCCTGCTCGGTCTCCTGCTTAGTCTCCTCCTCGGTCTGGTGGTGGGGGGGGGGGGTGATCAGAACAAAGTCGGTCCCTCGTCTCGTCACAACCTCATTACACTGTCGTAAACGTGTCAGGATCAACTAGACCTGATCAAATATTATGCTCACTTAAACGGGGCCAGAATCCTGCTGGATCCCCAAAACTTCGTAATGTTAAGAGATTTATTTATTTTTAATCCGTCGTAAAATGTCATAAAACAATGCATTTATTTTATTTATTTATTTTATTTATTTAGTAATTTACACCTGAGTTTTGGAGCAATATCGATGATTTGTTTGTTTTTTGTTGTGTTTGAGAATAATTAGAGAGATGAGGTGTAGGTTAGAGATAGAGAGATAAGGTGTAGGTTAGAGATAGAGAGATAAGGTGTAGGTTAGAGATAGAGAGATAAGGTGTAGGTTAGAGATAGAGAGATAAGGTGTAGGTTAGAGATAGAAAGATAAGGTGTAGGTTAGAGACAGAGATAAGGTGTAGGTTAGAGATGAGAGATAGGTGTGGGTTAGAGATGAGATAAGGTGTAGGTTAGAGATAGAAAAGATAGGTGTGGAGTTGAGATGGCTGGAGTTAGCGGGTTGAGAATGAGAGAATAAGGTGTGGGTTGGGGCAGAGATAAGGTGTAGGTTAGAGATAGAGAGATAAGGTGTAGGTTAGAGATAGAGAGATAAGGTGTAGGTTAGAGATAGAGAGATAAGGTGTAGGTTAGAGATAGAAAGATAAGGTGTAGGTTAGAGACAGAGAGATAAGGGAGGGTTCACATGTAGGTATCTGTGTGAGTGTGGCTGTTGTTGTGGCCTATCTCTCATGATTTGTTGTTGTCTGAAGACCAATCCTGCCTCCAGCATATCGTGAGTGAGTGAGTTAGCGAGTAAGCGAGTGAGTGAGTGAGTGAGTGAGTGAGTATATTAAAAACCACCCACGCCTCCACGCTCACGCCCACATCTTCGCCAGCAGGTCTTATGCCTATCACCTGGGACAACTCTCCCACGCCCGCCACGCCCGCGCCAGCCCTCGAGGATGACGATGACCCCGCCCTTACCCAACTGAACACCCTCATCCGTGACGACCTAACACAGGTGCAGGAGAGAGAACTTTTTACCTTTTATTTTGTTCAGGAAAATTTAAGATAATTATAACAATAACTAGATTTTAAACAGTGATAATTATGAAGACTCCACTAGAGAATTTTATAGTAGAAGTAGTAGTAGTAGTAGTAGTAGTAGTAGTAGTAGTAATAATAAAATTGACAAATGCTCTGAAATACTCACAATAAATAATTAACACCTTATTAATAACATTCTAACTTGAAAACGTCACCTAAAGTATTCTTATCACATCACATAAGATAACACTTAAACACAACACTAAAGGCTAACACTTGAACACAACACTAAAGGCTAACACTTGAACACAACACTAAAGGCTAACACTTGATTATTAAACAGGGAGGAGGAGCTGTGTTAACGACTCGACCTCCAATGGAAGAGGAGATGGAAGAGGAGGAGGCCACGAAGATGGAGATGGAACAGGAGGCCAACCAGGAACAGGATAACAAGGTCGTCTCAGGTAGTCCTTGTACCATGCAGCAGTACGAGCTACTTAAGGTGAGGCTCTTACAGGTGACGAAGAATACTAGTGTTCGTCCAGTCTTCTGACGAGTTGTAAAGGATCATTAGTCCTCAGATTAGCACACAAAATATAACCTGACCTGACCTAACCTGACCTCACCTGACCTGACCTCACCTGACTTGACCTCACCTGACCTCACCTTACCTCACCTCACCTGACCTGACCTCACTTCACCTCACCTCACCTAACTTAACCTAACCTAATCTACATCTACCTTAACCTAATCAAACATAACCTTATCTATCTCCAACTACTTGTCAACCAACCAACATAAGTCATTAGTAATACTCTTTAAGAAACTTCTAATAACTTCTTGGCAATTATGGATCATCGCGTAGCTCCCACTAACTACCAGTGCCAATTATTAAAAATGTCCTTCCACAAATTTAACACATTTTCATAGATAATTTGTAATACTTATCAACGGATTATTATCAATTATTAGTAGTTATCAATGCATAAAATATTAACATATGCCACCATTAAATATCTTGTAAATTATCGGTATAAAATAGATTATTAATACCTCACTAATGACAGTATAAACTTGGGTCCAAATCTAATAAATTATCACATATCACAAATCATCGGTATAAATTATTACCTAAGTTGAGTAATTTGTCAAGAAAATTATCTTCCTCGCGTTATTGAAATGTTCTCTCTTTAGTCGCCATTGTCGCCATCGTCACCATTGTCACCACTGTCATGTTTACAAAGTTTATAGATTAATTATTAACCAAGACGAATTTGTTTTTGTTTCTGTTTAGTATTTATAGCACTAGAAAACCACACACACACACACACACACACACACACACACACACACACACACACACACACACACACGTCAGCCAGTCAGTCAGTCAGTATCAAAGAACTGACAAACTACAGTCCCTGGTCCTGTTTCCCCATCCACCGTTGAAGAGGAGAGTGTAATTTGACTAATCTACCATCATTGGGTTTGTAATAGTCACTACTGAAGCGAGGGACACGTCGAGCACCAGGAGGCTGGAGGAGGAAGCCAAAACTGGGAAATCACAGAACATTGCAGTCATTCCCATTGATTGATTGCAGCTTCCTGATCGTTATTGCAGGCGTGTGTTGAGGGTGAAGTGAATGTATACACTGTTGCACGGCTGGAGAAGTTGTAGAGGTGGCCGAGTGGATACAATACTCCTAGTCTACCCAGCTGTAAATGTGTACCTAAATTTACAGTTGGGGATGTGAGGGTGGTTGAGTACAGTACCGGTCATGTTGCCTCCTTGTGTACTGAAGGTTTAGTATACAGTGTTGAGACATTTGCCTCTGTCTACCCAGCAGGAATTACGAACCTGGATGTTAATCAATTTGCGGATCGTATTCCGGGGTAATGGTTTGCCAGTGCAGTTGGCGAGTTGTCCGGTCTTCTCGGACTCTTCCTTGACACTGGGTCATGCAACTTAGGGTGTGGTTGTTGTTTTGGCGACTGCTTCTACACCTTAAACAAATTCACGCCTAGTTGGCCCTTGGGAGATGCTCTCTCTCTCTCTCTCTCTCTCTCTCTCTCTCTCTCTCTCTCTCTCTCTCTCTCTCCATAAGATACAACTTCCGTGTAGGATGTGATGGTTTGTTGGTCCTTTACGCTACACGCTGAAGGATACACAAGGATGCTTGGCTGCTCCTTTGTGTTACACTCGCTGATATACAACTGTCGTAAGGAAGGAAGGAAGGAAGGAAGGATTCGCATTAACAACAAACTAACATTAATAGACTGAAACTTTTATCCCAAGAATATAGTAATGTTGAGACCTAACCTGACCTGACCTGTAAAACAAATATAAGTTTTCCCTCCCCTCCTCCCCCTACCATCCCCCCCCCCTCCCCTCCTCCCCTACCTCCTCCTCCCCTACCATCCCACCCTATACCTCCCCTGCTCTCCCCTTCCATCCTCTCCTCCATACCCTCCCCTCCTCCCCTACCATCCCCTCACTCCCCTACCCTCCCCTCTCCCCTACCCTCCCTCCTCCCCCCCTAATCACCCCCTCCTGTACCCACCATCCCTCTCCTCCCTTGCCCTCCCCTCCTCCCTACCATCCCCTCTCCCTACCTCCCCTCCTCCCCCTCCCTCCCTCCCCCATCCCCTCCTCCCCCTCCCTCCTTCCCCTACCATCCTCTCCTCCTTACCCTCCCCTCCTCCCCCCCTACCATCCCCTCCTCTCCCCTACCACCCCCTCCTCCCCTACCCTCCCCTCCCCCCTACCATCCCTCCTCCCCCCTACCCTCCCCTCCCTCCCCTACCATCCCCTCCCTCCCCCACCCTCCCCTCCTCCCCTACCCTCCCCTCCTCCCCCCCTAATCACCCCCCCTCCTCCCCCCTAATCACCCCTCCTCCCCCCCCCCATCCCTCTCCTCCCTTACCCCCTCCCCTCCTCCCCTACCATCCCCTCTTTCCCCTCCCCTCCTCCCCTACCCTCCCCTCTCCCCCACCCCCTCCTGCCCTACATCCCCACCTCCTCCCCTACCATCCTCCTCCATTCCCCTCCCCTCCTCCCCCCCTCCTAATCCACCCCCCCTCCTGTACCCTACCATCCCCTCCTCTCTACCACCCCCTCCTCCCCCACCATCTCCTCCTCTCCACCATCCCCTCCTCACCCCTCTCCACCTTCAGTTTACAACACTCACACATAGCCACTCTCGCACAGTAGCCAGCACCTTTCACACCCTCTACACTACCATGATGTAGAGAAGAAGAATGGTAGTGTGTCTGACTGCACCATTACCATACAAGTGAGGTATAGAACAGATGCTTGGTTCAACACGAGAGAACGGGCGGATGGGAAGCTTTTATCCTAGTGAGAATATTTCCTCCTCTGACATAATATTCTTTTAATATTTCTAACTATTTAAAGAAGATTTTTGGTTCTGTGTTAAAAAAAAAATCAAAATCATTTACGTCAAGAATGAGCAAGAAATAAAATGTCGTGTGTATGTTGGTGGTCAATTTGTCTGAGTGGATGTACGTGTTATATTTTTTTTAGGGTTTGTTTACATAGGAATTGGTTTAGATCATGTGGGTAACACCTCGGGGTTTAGGGTTTATCGTGGTGTGTGGGACGGGTTTATGTGTGTTTGTGAGTGAGCTCTTGGCCTCTCCCTATAGTTGTAAACAAGGGCTTTGTGTGAGTGAGTGAGTGAGTGAGTGAGTGAGTCCCTTCCTTCCTTCCTTTGTCATCGACTGGGTAAGGAAGGAAGAATCACAAGGGATGAAAGAAGGAGAGAAAAATGGAAAGAGGTGGAGGGAAGGAGAGAGATAGCAGAGAGAGTGAGATGGAGACAAAGAGATATAAAGAGAATTAAAAAGGTTAATGAATAAGAGAGAGATAAGAGAGAGAGAGAGATGGAGGGGGGAGGGGGTATCTCACCTCATCGACGCTCTCAGGGCATCCTCTCCCCCCTCCTCCCTCCCCTACCCCCTCCCCTACCCCTCCCCAACCGAGATTAAGTGAGAAACTGCGTGAGAGGAAAAATAAATTCACTTAAGAGGTTAAGAATAAAGAGAGACTCCTTCCCTCCCACCTCCTTCCCCTTCCATCCCTCCCCCTTCCCTTCCCCCCTCCCACTCTCCTTTTTCCCTCTCCCTCCTCCTCCCTTCCACCTTAATAAAAAGAAGAATAACGATATGGGAAGAGGAGACATAAATACGCATAAAATGACACAAGAATTTAAACTTCTGATGAAAGGTTAGGAAAAAAAATCCCATTATATCGAATACCCATAAAAAAAAGTATCCACAAAAGGCCTAAACTTCAAAAAAAATCACCATCATTACCCCAAAAGACTTTATCCAGCACAGTTTCGATTTACGATGGAAAAGAGTATTTCTTACCATCGTCATCCGGGGTTAATTAATTGTTTCCTGTTCCTTGATGGTGTCGTAAAGGATCCTCATATACAGTAAACTTGAAGGGACTCTATACAGGTGTGTGTGTGTGTGTGTGTGTGTGTGTGTGTGTGTGTGTGTGTGTGTGTGTGTGTGTGTGTGTGTGTGTGTGTGTGTGTGTGTGTGTGTGTGTGTCGTTTATGTGTAAGGACAGACTTAGTGATGGTAAGTGAGGAAGTAAATATTGGATTTACCTTCAGTTTCTGCCTTTAAATTTGATAAACGTCTTGAGAAGCAAATACCGATTTCCTTTTTTTTTTCCTGTTTTTTTTTTTTTGGTGTATTGTGTTATTTAGTTTCTCTGGCCATAGATATACAACTGGGCCATAGTTTTATACTTTGGGCCATGGTTTTACTCTCCTAGGGCCATAGTTGTATCCTCCCCGGGCCATAATGTCATAATTTCGTGTCAATGGTACCAGGACTCTGTCAATAGTGTCGAATTTCCCAAGTAATCACACGTAATTCACCTGTTCAAAGTGTTCCTCACATTACCTGTGCACCTGGAGGCTACAGTCATGATCTCATTAGTGAAGGTGTGTGAATTATTGGCCTGGCATGAAGGTCTTTACTGATACATTGTTATTGTGTGTTTGTGTGAGGGAGAGAGGGGGATAGAAGAAGCAGAGAGAGACAGAAGAAACAGAAGAGAAATGAGAATGACGAGAAATATAAGAGAAAAAAATCATAAACAGAATGACTAATAAAAAAATACTCGTGAAAATAAAACAACTGACCCTAAAAACAAACTAATAACAAAAAACAAAAATGGCACAGTAATACAACAGGTAAACTTGGAACTTAATGAACAAAAAATTGAACAGGATGAACTCAGGTGAGGTTGAGAATAAATAGAGGAAGAAAGATTGGAAATTAGTTTAATGGAAATGCCTCGTCGGAGTGAAGTTGAGTCAGAAATAGATGGCAGGCGTATTTTGAAGACTTACTGAATATCCCAGATGACAGCGCGCCGAGGAATAGTCGATTTAGGGCGTGATGGAAGAATGCTGGGTGTGAGAGAGAGAGAGAGAGAGGGGGAGGGGGTATAAAGAGAGAAGGAAGGAAGAAAGAGAGAACGAAAGAGAGAGAGAAAGGATGATAGAGGAAAGAAAGGAGAGAGAGAGAGAGGAAGGATAGGGGAGAGAAAAGAAAAAGGGAGAGAGAGAGAGAGAGAGGGGGAGGGGGTATAAAGAGAGAAGGAAGGAAGAAAGAGAGAACGAAAGAGAGAGAGAAAGGATGATAGAGAGAAAAGAAAGTGAGAGAGAGAGAGAGGAAGATAGAGAGAAAAGAAAGTGAGAGAGAGAGAGAGAGAGAGAGAGAGAGAGAGAGAGAGAGAGAGAGAGAGAGTGCCTAGCATGCTACTGAAAGCAGATGAGATTAGGAGGCGTGCTGTCTATCTCTCTGTCTGTCTGTCTGTCTATCTGGATCACATATTACCATAGCGCCTTTCTCTTACCCCTCACACAAAATATATTAGTACTACCTTCAGAATATACCCAATATACCATGCTCAGAGTATACCCAATATAAAGAATATCCTCAATATACAGCATAACACCTAACATACTACCCTCCCAGTATACACAAAATATATCACATATTCAGAAAAGTTCCAATATTGAGTCAACAAGATGAGGAAAGGAGAGGGGAAGGGGAGGTCAGAACGTATTATTTACATGAATCAGGAGAGCCACTAAAAGCATTGAAATAATTGCATCAAAGAGCATTGTGCTTTTAAGTGGTAGAGTGATTGAGGTAATATAGAGGTAACGTCAAAGGTAGGGATGAGGAGAAATGTTTGTTTACGGACCGTGAGTGGGTGTAAGGGAGGGTTACAGTGCTTTCTTGTATATTCGTCTGTGGACAGGTGAGATGTGGGTTTATACCTGTGTGTATATACCACCTGTACATGATGTTGATGATGATGATGATGATGATGATGAGTATTACAGGTGAAAGAGGAAAGTCAGGAGAGGTGAGTGTGTGTGTGGCGTATTGTGTGTGTGTGTGTGTGTGTGTGTGTGTGTGTGTGTGTGTGTGTGTGTGTGTGTGTGTGTGTGTGTGTGAGGAACTATGTTATGAATTCTCAGGTACTCGGCTCGAAGAGGAAGACAGAATATATGTTTGTTAGGGAATTATTATTATTGTACATGTGTGTGTATTATTATTATTATTATTATTATTATTATTGTATTATTATAGAACGTAACTAAGCTGTATTTGAGAATGATTAAGCCAATGGATCTACTTCGAAGCATAAGAGGATAACATTAATTGCTCCTATGTAATGCAGAGAAGACCCGAATAATGGGAATAAGAGGTGACAAATGAATAATGTGTAGAGAAGGAGGAAAAGAAGGAGGTGGGGGAGGAAGTAGAAGAAGGGGTGGAGGATGTAGGGGAGGAGGAGGAAGAAGAAGGGGTGGAGGAGGTAATTTTGCAGTTTGCATGACACTAAAGGTAGAAAACTATTAACAGGGTAACAGAAGACCTGATGAATAGAGGAGAGAAGTTAGAACAATGGAGATGAGAGATTTGTAAAAGTGGTGAAGAGGAGGTGAGTGGGAGAGAAAGATGGGGATGAGAGGGGAGAAAAGATGGGGATATGAGAGGGAGAAAGATGGAATGAGAGGGAGAGAAAGATGGGGTGAGAGGGGAGAGAAAGATAGGATGAGAGGGGAGAATAGAGGTGAGAGAGGGGAGAAAAGATGGGAATGAAGAGAGAAAGAAGATAGAGCCAGAAGGAATGATAGACAGAGGGAAGACGAGAGATAAAGTGGAGAAAAGAGAAAGAAAGAAAGAAAGAAAGGAAGGAAAAAGATGGATAAAGGAATAAAATTGATGTGGGGTGATCTCCTGCCACGGTGTTCTCACGTCCCGGCAGATATGCAAAATTGTGTTTTTTTTACATCTTCGTAACTAAGTCAAAATCTTGTCTCTGTGTTGTGCACGAGGACAAAAGCAGTGGGAGGGAGGCGAAGAAGAGGCGGGGAGGGAGGAAGGGGTGGGAAGGAGGTGGGAGGCAGGGGGAGGGAGAGAGGAAGGGGGGTGGGAAAAGAGGAAGTGGAGGCAGGGGAGGGAGAGGAGGGGTGGGAAGGAAGTGGAGAGGCAGGAGGGAGGAGGGGGTGGGGAAGGAGTGGAGGAGAGCAGGGGAGAGGGAGAGGAGGGGTGGAAGGAGATGGAAAGGCAGGGAGGGAGAGGAGAGAAGGGGTGGGAAGGAAGTGGAGAGGCAGGGGAGGAGGGAGAGGAAGGGGTGGGAAGGAAGTGGAGAGAGGCAGGGAGGGAGAGAAGGGGGTGGGAAGGAAGTGGAGGCAGAAGGGAGGGAGAGGAGAGGGGGTGGGAAGGAGGTGGAAGGCAAAGGGAGGGAGAGGAGGGGGTGGGAAGGAAGTGGAGGGAGGCAGGAGGAAGAAGGGAAAGGGTGGGAAGGAGGTGGAGAGGCAGGGAGAGGGGAGAGAGGAAGAGGGGTGGGAAGGAAGTGGAGGCAGGGAGGGAGAGGGGAGAGGAGGGGGTGGGAAGGAAGTGGAAGGCAGGCAGGAGAGGAGAGGGGTTAGAGGAAGGAAGTGGAGGGAGGCAGGGGAGGGAGAGGAAGAAGAGGGAGGTGGGAAGGAAGTGGAGAGGCAGGGGAGGGAGAGGAGGAGGAGGTGGGAAAGGAAGTGGAAGAGCAAGGGAGGGAGAGGAAGGGTGGGAAGGAAGTGGAGAGGCAGGGGAGGAGAAGGGAAAGAAAGGGGGTGGGAAAAGGAAGTGGAGAGCAGGGAGGGAGAAAGGAAAGGAGGTGGGGAGGAAAAAGGGAAGTGGAGAGCAGGGGAGGGAGGAGGGGGTGGGAAAAGGAGATGGAAAGGCAAGGGAGGAGAGAGGAAGGGGTGGGAAAGGGAAGTGGAGAGGCAGGGGAGAGGAGAGGAAAGAGGGGTGGGAAAAGGAAGTGGAGAGCAGAGGGAGAGAGAGGAAGGAAGGGGGGTGGGAAAAGTGGAGAGAGCAGGGGAGGGAGAAGGAAAGGGTGGGGAGAAGGAGTGGAAGGCAGGGGCAGGAGAAGGGAAGGGGGTGGGAAGGAAGTGGAAGAGCAAGGGAGGGAGGGAGAGGAAGGGGTGGGAAGGAAGTGGAGGCAAAGGGAGGGAGAGGAAGGGGGGTGGGAAGGAAGTGGAGAGTCTTGAGGGGGAGGGAGAGGAAGGGGGTGGGAAGGAAGTGGAGAGGAAGGGGGTGGGAAGGAAGTGGAGAGGCAGGGGAGAGGTTCAAGGTGCTACTCGTCATCTGATTGTGGTTAGTCTCCAGCAGGTGTAACTCATTAAAGTCAAGGTGTGTCTTGCGTACACACACGCTTAAAGGTAAGGCAGTGATAACTTTTGGCCCAATCAGACATATTCAGGTGTCTTTCTCAGCTCTAATTTCAGGCATACCTATCTTTATCGCTCATAACCCATTATATTTTCAGCCATAAAGAAAAGCATCTCCATGGTACACACACACACACACACACACACACACAGGATGGTTTTAGCGGACTTATCCATGGTAACAAAGCAGGAAGGATAATCTCTGTGTTCTTATATTCATTCTTTTTCTATGTGCAATTGAAACCTCGATTTAACGGACTACTTACAGATGAAGATCCATTATATCGAGGGTTTGTTTGAATGTGAAAATCCCCATCTAATGGATTATATGAAGAAAAGAAGTTCGTTATATGGAGAGTTTTACTGTATTGTATTACCATATAATTATACACTATATTTCCCATATATTACGTATTATCAACACTATATTTCTCATCTATTACGTATTATCAACACTATGGCCTCCCTATATTACGTATTATCAACACTGTATTTCCATCTATCACGTATTATCAACACTGTATTTCCCATCTATCACGTATTATCAACACTATATTTCCCATCTATCATATTATCAACACTATATTTCCATCTATCACGTATTATCAACACTATATTTCCCATCTATCACGTATTATCAACACTATATTTCCCATCTATCATGTTATCAACACTGTATTTCCCATCTATTACGTATTATCAACACTATATTTCCCATCATATCACGTATTATCAACACTATATTTCCCATCTATCACATTATTATCAACACTATATTCCCCATCTATCACACGTATTATCAACATATATTTCCCATCTATCACGTATTATCCAACTTTGTATTTCCCATCTATCACGTATTATCAACACTGTATTTCCCATCTATCGTATTATCAACACTATCAGCTATAAATCTATTGCATTATTATCAACACTATATTTCCCATATATTACATTATTATCAACACTGTATTTCCCATCTATCACGTATTATCAACACTGTATTTCCCATCTATCGTATTATCTAACACTATATTTCCCACATATATTACGTATTATCAACACATGTATTTCCCATCTATCACGTATTATCAACACTGTATTTCCCATCTATCACGTATTATCAACACTATATTTCTCATCTATTACGTATTATCAACACTATATTTTCACATATATTACACGTATTATCAACACTGTATTTCCCATCTATCACGTATTATCAACACTATATTTCCCATCTATCACGTATTATCAACACTATATTTCCCATCTATCACGTATTATCAACACACCAAACATTTCTTCTCTATGTTATGTTTCCTCTATATACTTATCGTTGTTTTCACCTTCAGGATAACCTGGTGGTGTATCATCACGCCCGGCTTATGGCAGAGAAAGGTCGCGGCTCTGAGAGGGAGTACTTAGTGGGTCTTATGTTCTCAAAGTTCGACACTAACAATAATGGCGTACTGGACAAGCTGGAGCTGGAACAGGTGAGATATGCTCTCTCTCTCTCTCTCTCTCTCTCTCTCTCTCTCTCTCTCTCTCTCTCTCTCTCTCTCTCTCTCTCAGTTAAAATAATTCATTGTCTTTGGATTTACCACGATTTTTCGTTTCTCAGGTTAGGTTAGGCTAGTGGTAGAGTGTGAGGGCTAGTGGGTGGGCGTGTGAGGGCTAGCAGAGTGGTTGTGCTAGTGGGTGGGCGTGAGGTTACTGCTAGGGGCCACCAGTAATCCCACTCTGGTTAATCATCTCATTCAACTCGTTCCATTAACCTTCATTCCACTCATTCCATTAACTTTGATTAATGAAACTTTGGAGACTCTTCTCTTTGCCACTGAACTCAAGAATCTTTTAATTAGTTTCCTTGCTTTCTGGCCGTCTTAGTCTGTCACTCTCACAGGTAGATCGTACCCAGGTGGAAGAAAACACCATTGTACTAATGTATGTGGGTGGGTGCTCGGAATTATCTTATTTATTAACGTATTATGTGAGGTGCATCGGGCGAGTGGATATCATGTTTTGTTTTTTAATCCTAATGTTCTATGGTTTGATGCCACAGGGCCCATAGTCTATCCAGTTGTGAATGGCTACCTAATATTATTGTTGGGGGAAGTTAAGATGATCAACTGTAGTGCTGACGGCATAGTATACAGTGTACTGTATCCAAACTGCCCTAAATTTTGTTTATAGTTGAAATTCCATTTAACTCTGAAGTGGTGAGATGCATGAGTCTCTAAAGGTTGTCTTCTGATGTATGTGAACCTGACGTCACCCGAGTTTGGAGAAGAGTGAGTGTGTTTTTACAGGTGTAGTGAGTGTGTTTTTACAGGTGTAGTGAGTGTGTTTTTACAGGTGTAGTGAGTGTGTTGTTACAGGTGTAGTGAGTGTGTTTTTACAGGTGTAGTGAGTGTTTTTACAGGTGTAGTGAGTGTGTTTTTACAGGTGTAGTGAGTGTGTTTTTACAGGTGTAGTGAGTGTGTTGTTACAGGTGTAGTGAGTGTGTTGTTACAGGTGTAGTGAGTGAGTTTGTCGTTGCAGGTGTCGCAGCTGGAGGAGGTCAGCCGCCTGGCGGAGGACTGCACCCTAGTCGACTTGCTGCGCTACGACGACGCCAACACCGACGGTCACCTCAACCTTAATGAGTTCTATACCGCCTTCAGTAAGTTGTACAGTAAGTTATCACGCCTCCCGCTTCCCGTTACCACCCACCACCGACTCCCTCACCTCTAATGACCAGCAAGCATGATGTCAGCTCACCTACTGCTGCTCGCAATGGTTAGTGGGACGCTAACGATGGTTAGCAAGAGGCTAACGATAGTTGGCGGGACACTAACGATGGTTAGTGGAACAGTTAAAGATAGGGAGCGGGATGCTGATGCCTCAGGACTGTTGATGGTGTCTCGGGGAATGTTGAAGCTTATCATGAAAATAATAATAATAATCTGAGACGAATTATGGCCAAAGTCAGTCATTGTTTACAGCTTGTGATGCCCTGTCTTCAAACATCTCCCCGAGCCCTGTTACCTGAATAAAATAAATACAACTTTCCTCCATCTAAACTTTACCTCACATCAAGGTACTTGTGCCGGAGTCTTATACTTGCCTGCACCTTCAGTAGGAAACAAAAGCACTTTATGAAGCCGCAGTGGCTGTTGTGTCCAGTAGTGGCACGGGTCCTGAGGCGGGGCGTCCCAGCACTTGTCTTGGTTGCTGGATTATTGCATTGTTTCATTATGATATAAATTGAAGTCTTTCTTCATTAAATTCTTGTTTCAATAAAGAGTATTTTTATGAGCGAAGATAGATACATTAAGATGAGCTGTAGGAGTAAAACTAAATACTGATAAACCTAATTTACTGGGTTAGTAGTGTTAGAGGACTAGGTGTGCGTGGGCGCGCGCGAGCATGTGTTGTGTCGACCCTGCCCCGCATGTTATCCTCCCCCTCCCATCCTCCTCCCGCGACCCCTGCCTACCCTAGCATGCTTGGTCTTCTGCTGGTGCTCATTGTTAACTCTTCTGGATCATGGCGGAGGTGTTCTTGCATATAATCAGACTCTTAGTTTAAAATCACTAAGAAATTATGTTGGATTCCCTTTACTGTATGTTTGGATTATAAAAAGCTGACAAAATAAAAACTTGTCAACGTTAGAGTCCTTTGTAAGAACACTCAGCCATGTGATGGTCAAAGGTGACATGAAGTTCTTTATAGATGCCAGTGACAGTCTCAGAATATTGTAAACTGAATCTACGAATATACTCACCAGTTACAGAACTAGTTAAAATAGTCTTACAAAACCTTATCATAAACAACGAGTTTTTTAATTTAATGCAGAATATGACCAGTTTATAGAGACACCATGTCACCTAAAACCTTTACATTATTTAATAAGTTTTGGGGATTGTGTACTTATTTCTACCGAGTCTCCTTCACACGTGCTCCGAGACAAAGGTAAACAGAAGGTAAACAATTTTTTACTTTTAAATTTTTCCATATATAGTGATTGTTTTTTTTACATGTATTTTCATGACTTAATCATTTTTTCTCTCTTTTCTTGTGTCCGACTAAATATTTTATAAGGACACTCTTGGTTACATATGCTTTCATTTCAGTACAAAAGACATTATCCTCATTAGCATATTTTCAAGCTTACGAGTTTTTAATAATATTTCCCATACATCTATATCCATTGTCACGGTCCAGCACGACCTTTTATCATTAATACACACCCTAAATCATTTTACAAATCTAAATGTTTTTTTTTGCATTATAATTTTCTCTGAACCTTTGCACTACTTTAACCTTCGTTGTGGTGGAGTTTAGCAGATCAATTGCGATCAGAAACAACAGACTGGGGGAACGAACTTACTTTTATCCTCTTCACCACTGATCGGCTCGTTAGCCACTTGGTCGGTCGGTCATGTCTGTTACACACTGTTGGCAATTACTGGGCTCCATAATGTATCTGTACCGACACCAGTGTTGGTCAAGTCTGGTCTTGAATAAGCTCACACTTGGTGCCGTTACAATGCCCTCACAATTTTCTGAATTTGCGGCTTCTTCAACCTCGAACTGTGACCCTTAGTGGGGCGGGCATCTACCAGCTCCAGGTATGAACTTGTGGCTGTGTTGCCCCCGGGATGATGATGGCCAGTGTGTACTACAGTTCTGTGGATAAGAGAAAAAATGGGATAGAGAGTTGCTACAGAGGTCTTAACTGTCAGTACAGAAACAGGTGTGAGAGTCAAGAGAAACAGAAGACAGTGTTATCAGAAACACTATGAATCAACCTGGGGATCTCTTTATGTTCACGAGAATATGTTACCTGTATATGTACGATAGTATATTGTGGGTACAGTATCTTCACTTACTGCCAGAGTCGCATACTGCAGGTGGGGATTTTTGAGACACACACACACACACACACACACTTGGAAACGTTAACCAAAGCCCATTACAGAATAAATTCCCCGGGCAACTCACATTTCTAAATTATTATCCAGACTTTTATAATGAGTTCCAATTATTCCTGACCCGCTGCTAGATCAAGTTGCTTATAAATACAGTGCAGTAAATCGTCATGAATACGAGAGCCTTTCATTACAGGCCCACAGGAATGTAAGGTACTTGCCTCCAAAAGCACATTACGGCCACTAAATTATCATTCATAGTTCACTGGAATGAGTTATTGAACCAAAGGCCTTCATTATGCATCTGTGTTTCTCCTCACTGTATGGAATTTAATCATAACTGGATCTCAAAGGTTTCAAGTACCTTATTTAAGAGTGTTTAATATTACTTAAGGAACGATTTATTTAAGAGGGGGGGGGAGGAAATCTTGTGCATTAGTCTAACTCTCCCGTATAAATAAACAATGGAACCCAGATGAGAATTGGAGATTTTTTAGGTCCGTTTTCTATGAGATTCGTGTTTGTATAAGAAAATAAATAAGTAGCTTAGGTGCAGGTGCAGTACATCGACCTCTGTTTTAAGAATTATAATGTTCAAATAGACAAAGCTAAGGCTAGAGAGTTATTATTGCGTGGAGTTGTTCATACAGATTATTTTTTATCAGTCAGCGAGAGAGTGAGCAAGTCAATAAACCAGTGAGATATAGCTTCTGGTGCAGCCAAAAATGACACTTGGGCCTAATATGTATAACAAGATGTATATTTTTCATGTTACATCATCCATTTTGATTTTAACATAACTACTTTTGATAAAGCGGGTAAGCTTTCAACTCAGATCATGTAAATAAATGTAAGTGCATTACATACACCAAGAAAACTATATTAATAAATTTATTTTCCAAAATGATGAACTTTTAATGTTTGTTACGTTGACAGTCAGAGAAAAAGGCGTAAAATATGATATGTTCTCTGCAATGGACAAATGTGATACAATATTGCATAGTGACGGAGTGGAGGGACGAGAGGCCATCATGGTGTCTCATACCTCAGTTCATTTTTCACCTTACGGATGATTCTATTTCTTTACCCTAACCTGAACACCTCCTTCGGGTGACAATACGTAATAAAAGTAATTTATTATACTACGATAATATTCATTGATAAATTGGAACTGTTAACAATGTGAATTTAGTCTGACGCTGACCCTCGGTGGTGAGAGTTTACTTGAAGGCGAAAGTTTGAACCAGGTGGTGCTAGAGCGAGATATACACACGCGAACACTGAACCCAACTAATTTTAATCTAATTATCCACTCTGATTTGTGTGTAATACTGTAACAATAATAATAATAATTATAATAATAATAATAAACGGTTTATTGAAAGAGCATGGTAGCTGGAAGACTAAAAATATATAGTTTCATAATTGGGAAATGGGTAACTTGATTAACAAATAATACACAAGTAACAGAAGTGATATAAAAATGATATATAATAACTTGGTGAGAAGAAGGTCATACTACAGGGCATTTCAACATAGTGACAGTGCAAAAAGGTTAAGATTGACTGGGAGTGAATACACTGGTTGATTACTTGTTGATAATTTTTACAATGGTTGGGACTGGGCTGTTCTTATAGCGATCAGTTCGTGCTCGTATGGGCTGGATGCGGTTGTGATGTTGAACAGCAATTCTCGAACGAGGGATCTCGGGTGGTAGTAGGAGCCGGTGTCGAGGATGGTGTAGAAGCTTCTCACCAAATTTGCAGATGAGGTCGTGGTGATGGTCAGAGAGAGCCGAGAGGGTCAGTGTGTTGAGTGCTTCTTGATATGTGGAGTAGGAAGGGGAGAGAATAATCTTGTATGCCCTCTTTTGCACTTTTTCTAGGTGTTTACGTTGTGTGGCATTTAGGGAGGAAGACCAGGTAGGGGAGGCATAGGTGAGCTTAGGAAGTATGAATGTTGAGTAAACACTGAGGAGCTCAGGGGGCAGGAACACCGAGGGATTAAAGTCGGCGGAGGAGGTGGAGACAAAAACTGGAAGATTTGACAACTGTACTGACGTGTTTTCCATTTATTTTGTTATCTATAGTGACGCCAAGGAGCTTAGCGGAGTCCACAACCTGGAGTGTGTTGGGTCCAAATTAATGGAGGGAGGTGGGACAAGGTCAGAGGAGAGGTTGATGTGCATAACCATGATCTTGGTATGGTTGATGGTGACGTGGTTGTTGGTGGCCCAATTTTGGAGACTGTTCAATGAATCCTGGAGGGTGGTGTAGTCGGGAGCCGAGTTGTTGACACCGTGTGTGTTTGTGCCTCAGTGTTTGTTCGTGTGGGATGGCTGTCTTAAAAGAATGGGAAATGAAAGATTGATAAATAAACTGTATAATTCAGAGTTAACTGCTTAGAGAGGTCGAGATCAAGGAGATAAAATGATGGATAAAGGATGCAGTAAAAGTGAAAGGGATGAACATCTGAAAAGTAACAGGAGCTTGAGTGATCAGAGAGCATGATGTGGAGCAGTTTTGGGGAGGGGTTGAGGGACGTCCTGCTGATGGTGAGGCTGGTGTGAGAGGTAGGCCAGATCTGAGGGCTGGATGTAGTACCAGAGCAGAACACATCTGTTACATCAGTAAGAACGAAAGAGTGACAACAAATGATGGAATGGGGCATTTGCCTGTATTCCCGACTACCCTGCATTAAGAGGAAAAACGTTTGAAGGAATAATATTATCTACATTTTATTAATTATTTCATTCTTATCCAAGTATAAATTAGAGTTCTCCTCCCTACACATTCTCCTACTATGCCCAGAGACTTGGACATAGTACGAAAGTTTCCTCATCCTTGTCCTCCCAGCCTCTTACTCACTTGCCCTGGCCAGGTGTGTCGGTCGTGTCTCTGGACAAGGCCTTAGAAGTGAACCATGTCTCCGCTCGCGTAGGAGACAATCTGGAGATCAAATGTGATGTCACAGGCACCCCCAACCCACCCATCGTCTGGCGAAGGAATGGCCTGGACTTGGCGGCTCTCAACTCAGAGGTAAATCTGGTTCAAATACAGATGAAAATAGTTAATTTGGCAACATTGGTACAAGTAAAGGTTTTAGAATTTCATTGTGGAGAAACTCAAGACACCGATTATGAATGTTTCACAGCTCACAATAAGTAAAATTTAATGGGAAAATTGCTATAGGCACTTCAATTATATCAGTATTTATGACTAACCTTTTTTCAGATCATTAATAACAAATGGTTCTCATAACAGTGTAATCATGTAAGAAAATGTCATTATTTTGTGTATATATTTGACTGTCAACACACTTTAGCCAAGGTGATATAAGTCAGATGTTACAAAGCTTTATTGTTAACCTCCTTCTTGGTGTGGCAGGATATCCGTGTATTTACGGACGGGTCTCTCTACCTGACGAGGCTACAGCTGGTCCACGCCGGCAACTACACATGTCATGCTGACCGCAATAAGGATGTCGTCCAGACCCACATCCTCACAGTTCACAGTAAGTCTCTAATAGGACGTCCTCACAGTTCACATTAAGTCTCTAATAGGACGTCTTCACAGTTCACATTAAGTCTCTAATAGGACGTCTTCACAGTTCACAATAAGTCTCAAATAGGACGTCTTCACAGTTCACAGTAAGTTTCTAATAGGACGTCTTCACAGTTCACATTAAGTCTCTAATAGGACGTCTTCACAGTTCACAATAAGTCTCTAATAGGACGTCTTCACAGTTCACAGTAAGTTTCTAATAGGACGTCTTCACAGTTCACAGTAAGTCTCTAATAGGACGTCTTCACAGTTCACAGTAAGTCTCTAATAGGACGTCTTCACAGTTCACAGTAACTCTCTAATAGGACGTCTTCACAGTTCACAATAAGTCTCTAATAGGACGTCTTCACAGTTCACAGTAAGTCTCTAATAGGACGTCTTCACAGTTCACAGTAACTCTCTAATAGGACGTCTTCACAGTTCACAATAAGTCTCTAATAGGACGTCTTCACAGTTCACAGTAAGTCTGTAATAGGACATCTTCACAGTTCACAGTAAGTCTCTAATAGGACGTCTTCACAGTTCACAGTAACTCTCTAATAGGACGTCTTCACAGTTCACAGTAAGTCTCTAATAGGACGTCTTCACAGTTCACAGTAAGTCTCTAATAGGACGTCTTCACAGTAAGACCCATTTCTTCACTAACTATAAATGTGTGTAGAGGTTTCACTCCATACAACACAAAGGTCAGTATAGAGGCCAAGTGTCATGTGTAGACAGATTTTCATTATAGCTTTAGTTAAAATAATACCCTATAGTGTTATGTTGTGTTTGCTAATTTTGTTTTTCTCCTCAGCGGTGCCAACAGTGCAAGTCACCCCTCATATCCAGAGTCTCAGGCCAGGAGAACAAGCCATCATGAGCTGCAGGGCCACTGGTGAACCCTTCCCCAAGGTGATGCACTGTTTCCCTCCCAGTTTTATTACTTAAGTGTTTTGTTAAGAATTCATAGTTATCTTCAGTATTTTATAAAGAATTCATAATTATCAATATAGAACACCTGTATATGACATGAGTTTTTAATTCTACATTTACATAAAAACTGATGACTATTAGTGGTGAAACAGGTAGTGAATATACAGGGAGGCATAGCAACTGAGTGGGAATAAAACCAACAGTTGTGATAATCCTCCTTATTGCTCTTCAGGTGGAGTGGCTGAAGAACGACGAGCCTCTACGTGTTGACATCCCACACAAGTATGAGGTGGTGGGGAACGGGACACAACTGAGGGTCAGGAACATCGGCTACGCTGACACTGGAGCGTATATGTGTCAGGCAACTAGTGTAGGAGGGATGGCCAGAGACATCAGCTCCCTTATCGTGCAGGAGAACCCAGCACCCAGTAAGCTCTACACACTTATAATAATACTGTACTCAAAATCACAATAAACTAGACAGTAGTATTTTCATTTTTATCGTAAACTATAAAATAAAAACTTTCACTTTAGTTTTCCTCTTCTGCCTATTAACATGAAAAGAGTTTTAAAATTTTCAGTTTTATATAATGATTAAAGAAAAATCCCCCCAAAAGAATTACAGGATCAAGTGTAGGATTTTTGATAGGACTCTCTGTTATGAGGTGCAGTCTGTTATAACCTTTGTTTGTCATCACAGCGGGGGAACAACAGGAGAGCCGAGTGTTTGTGTTCCATGACTGGGGCGTGGCCGTGTATGAGCCAGATGAGTGCCGGCTCTTCCATGTCATCCAGGGCACTGACGTCATTCCTGGCACACAAGAATATGTATGTGGTGACAAAGGTGAGCCTCTCAAGATGATTTACATACATTAATAAGGAAAACAAAAATTTAGTTAAGATATTGTGCTGTTATTTTCCTGGTTTCCATCCCTCTGTTGAGTTCAACTCTGTATTTGAGAAAATAAGCTAAAACAGCATCAAATAAAGTATAGGAAGAAATTGATTTATGGTCAAAACTAAATTATCTTATTTGAAGAGTAATTAGCTCCAGTAACTATCACAATTCCTATACATTTGCAACATGTACTGTATGTGCGAACAAATGTACCGGAAATATCAACGCAATTTATCCCTCGGCCAGGTACCAACTGCTCTTGGGGACGAGCCATTAACGTGGCAGAGAGGTACATCTACGTCACCCAGCCCAGGAGAGACCGGGTATTGGTGGTGTCCGTCCCGCAGATGGTTGTTGTGGATGTGAGTAAACAAAGTGAATGAGACTCTTAATCACTATAATGTGGGGTCCCTTCTCTGTAGAATAAAATTAACTGACATTAGCCTAATAAAATAATAAAAGTGGTGTCCCAGTAGTAAATAGGTTAAACAAACATATGGAGGGAGTATAAACATTCCTCTTTTGATTATATATTATACAGTACACACATAAAAACATTAACTAGCTAGGAGTAATAAATATTTGTTTTCATACAATAAAAATAATGAATGATAATCTTTTTGTATCTCATGCCATCATTACTATTATGCATATTTTCTAAAACATTCAGCTATCATATAGTTTTCATACATTTATATCCAATAAACAAATACTTTTTCATACTTAAAGGAATATATTTGGAGACCTCATTAATCTATGTTGTGTTTATAGGTCATTGTGACAGACCAGTTCCCAGTCGACCTGTCATATGTACCCAACCTCGACCAGGTGTGGGTCTTAAACTGGCGGTCCACCAAGGATGAGGGAGTCAAGACCATACAGGTAATAAATAGGGTAAATACACCGAGCATTTGAATCAGTGTCATAATAGACGAGACGAGGTGATATATACAGGTTAATTAGTATATTCTTTATCAAGTATACCATCACAACACCTGAGCACTGAACTATGAATTAAGTGCACCTTGATATGTATAAAGTAAAGTCTAATGCACAACACCTGTATTTAGACCTTCTATTATTATCACTAATTGTCTCTTGTAGTGGTAAAACCTCTCCCTCCCTTAATGAAATATATCCACAACCATTATGAAATTTTTTGATATCATTTATGTAATATATTGATATATATTTATGTATTTCGTGATGTGGAACAGTTACAGTATATGAGAGTTTTATTATTATAGGTGATCCGTGATGCCTCTCAGAAGAAGAAACACCATACTGTTCACCCAGAACCCATTGACGGCCACTTTGATCTCGTCAAAAACTTGTTCGTTCCCGACACACAGGTAACAATTGGGTTTAATTCCTTTTAACTTGATAATTAAATAGTTTTCTCCAGCTGTTAAAGTTATATGCTTAGAAATCTGACAACAATGCTTCACTAAATTACAACATAAACAGAAATATTACACCAGATTCTCCCAAACACAATTTTTTTAACTATCAATTATTTTTTTTCTTTCACTTTCATAACTAAACTATGCACCAAAACATGACCTCCCACCAGTCATCCTCAGAAAATGTTTATGAGCATTCAAGCACCGACAATATGTCTTTACGAATTTTCTATTCTTGCACCACTTAATTATATGAAGCTATTCTCTCTTATATGCATTTGAACTCTAAAGGTGGTGTACTAAATTTATATTTTATTATTTTTTTAAAGTGTTCGGCTCTAAATTACAGTAGTTAAGGTACTAATTTACAGTTTGGTAGGTTTTTTGTTGTTTGTGAACCTATTTAATTTTTTTAGATATGATATTGAAGTTTTCTTGTCATTGGGGAACTGAACCTTATTTTTCCCTGATGTTATGAAATTAGAGATAAGAAAAGTCACTAGATAATTTTCAATGAACTTAATCCATTCATAAAGTGAGGGATAACTGAACTGAAACTTGTCCTCTGCTCACTTTTTCTTTCTTCGTACTTATTCATTTAAATTTTATCACCATTCACCGACTTCATTCCTTGCACGTCTCTTGTCTGGGACTTCTTTCTCTCTCTTGTCTCTCCATCCATTTAAACTTACACCCACATCTTATTACACCTTGTCAATTTCCTAGTTGCCCTTCAGAGGACACAAAGTCATGTGTTTAAGAAAAGAAACACAACATCTACAGAACTACTGATGACTCCTAATTGAAGTAGTCTACTAACCCCTTGTGTCACCTCTGAGCTGAATAATATCATCTGGTGTTAGCTAAATAAAATATTGAAAGTGGCATTCCCGTAGTGAAGTGCCTGAGTACTTAAGTTAATACAATTTAATCTTCTATAAACATGTATATCTATCACAACAGCCATAAAATTCTACCTTAATAAGGAATTGTGTTGAAATTTCTATATCTTGATTATATTTTAGAACCTGTCGAAAATGACCTGTTGTATACAATATGATCACCCAACAGGACTTGGGCCATGACTTCCGGTATGGCTACGTCACACACACCAACCAGCGAGGCCTCTACAAGCTGGACTTGGCCAACATGAAGTACGTGAAGACAGTCGATCTCACACCTTACAACTGCGTTCCCCAGCACCTCGTCTTCTCATCGCTACGTATGTGGGATTACATTGTTATATCATAAATAAATGAAATAATTTTTAAGTCATTCTAATTCAGTTTTATGTGTGAAATTCTGTTTATAGTCCTGTGGAACATTTATGGTCGTGTAGCTCAAGTTTTATCATACTGTATATATATTTTTTTGTCTTATATATTGTGCACACTTTCATAAAATATAGGGCGACGGTTGTCTCTCTTACTTAGTTTTATCCTCTTCACCACTGATCGGCTCGTTAGCCGCTTGGGTGATCAGTCACGTCTCTGTTAAGTACTGTTGGCAAGTACTGGGCATGCACCGGCTCCTGAATGTACCTAAACCTGCTCCAGTGCTTATCCAGTCTGGTCTTGAAAGACCTCACACTCGGTGCCGTCACAACACTCTCTGGCAAATTGTTCCAAGAGTTCACAACTCTCTCTCCAAAAAAGTTACCCCTCACAGTTTTCTGGGCTTGTGGCTTTTTCAACCTTGAGCTGTGACCCCTTGTGGGGCGAGCATCCACCAGCTCCTGGTAAGGGCACTCGACTGGTAAGGGCACTCGACTGAGTATTGCCCTTTGAGATACTTGTACACCTCAATTTTATCTTCCCTTGCCTGTCTGTAGTATAAGCTAGGCAATTTCAGGCGTTTTAATCTCTCAGGGTAGCTGAGATGCTGCAGTGCAGGCACCAGTCTGGTGGCCCTTCTTTGAACATTTTCAACCAACTGACAGTCCCTAGCATATCTTGGGGACCAGACGGGGCGATTTACCTTCTTCTCGCAATGGCCCGAGAACTTCAGCTCATTGTCAATGTACACACCCAGGTCCTTCTCACATTCAGTCTCATTTAATGCAGTTTCTTCGTCCCGTTGGGACACATGATATGCCTCCTTACCGTTGGTACATCCCAGGTGCATCCTCTTACACATCATAACGTTGATTCTTAGCAGCCATTTCTTCGACCATTCTTGAAGCTCAGAGATCCTACTGCAGCTCTTCACAGTCTGCTTGGTTCTTAATTTCCCGAAATAACTTGGCATCATCCGCAAAAATTTGAATTGAGGAGTGTACAGCGTCAGACATGTCATTTATGAAGCAAACAAACAACAGCAGGCCCAATTCACTGCCCTGTGGTACCCCGCTTGTGAAGTGTACACTTGATGATTTATGCCATTAATCACCACACACTGCTTGCGGTCTTGGATAAAGTCTCCAATCCACGCTAGGACATTTCCCTGAATCCCGTACACTTCCAGTTTAATTTTCAGCCTTTCATGGGGTATGCTTTCGTAAACCTTGGCAAAATCTTGGTATATATTGTCGATATTACCACCCTGTTCCGGAATTTGGGTCCAAATATCCAGTACCTTGAGTAGTTGTGTTAAGAGGAGCGCCCCGGCAGTAAACTGTGTTAGCAATCCTTTACAAGGTTGTTTCGTAGTAGATGTTCTATCATGGCATCTCTTATAATGCTCTCAAATACTTTACATATTATGCTGGTCAGGCTCACCGGTTTATATTTATTCGTGGAGTGACGATCGCCCTTCTTGAAGAGAGGACTCACATAAGCCATTTTCCAATCACTGGGGACCTTTTGTTCATCCAGTCATTTACTGAACAGGATCTTCAGGGGCTCAGCTAGCTCATTGCACAACTCTCTTAGCACTCTGGGATACACCATGTCAGGACCGGGACACTTATGAACCATTATCTTTGATAGTTTATCTCTTATAACCTCTTCTGTGAACACAATGTGGGTCAGTGCTGTCATACCATCTGTCCTCAAACACAGGAAGATTATTCAAGAATTATTTTGTAGTAAGGATGAACTTTAAACAGAATATCAAAATTAGAAATGTTAGCTTCTCACTTTCCTCCATCCAAACAGACGGACTGGTGGTGATGGACTGTCATGAACCAGTGACTGGACGGCGGACAGGGCAGCTGGTGCTTGATTACCTGACAGATGCTGTTCTCAGTCACAAGCCAACACTGATGGGACGGCCACACGTCGTCCCAGACTCTTCCCTTGTTGTCACCGTTGACATCCTCAAACACGTCAAGATTGTTGTGCAAAAAGTCACAGGTAAACCAATTTATATTACTAAAAAATATACCTGTACCAGTTTTTATCTTCTTTCCACAGATTTTAGTTTTTACACCATTACAAGCAAAATCACTGACCTCCAGATTTAATATTGTTATTTCAAACCTATTTGGTCAATATTATGCCAACATATAAGCACAATAGAGGGGATGACCTATATAATCAACCATTGCTGCTACATTACAATACTGTACATGATATTTACAGTAGAAAATTTATCTAGCTTTCAGAAAATGTCTAGTTTTTCCTATTATTCTCCATGAATATTATCTCTAAGCCACCACCAGTAAAACGACAACTTAACTTATTAGAAACCCATCATAAGTGTCATACAATACAATACAGTATATGACAAGGCACAAGAGAAAATAGATTCACTTGACACTGAGCCAATCCAGCTTCCATGGATGTACAATTCTCCCAAAAGACTGACTGACAGGTAAAAGGCAGCCACATCACTCAGCTACAACAAGAGATCAGTACAGAGGCTATTACTTTTGAGTATATGGACACTGTTATATCCCAGTTGAACACAAGATTTTTTGACACTGGAAGCCATAATTGCCACTAGAAAAGTTGATGAACCATTATCAACCTGCATCTAGCACACAGTAGTAACAAATTAAAGTGTTATCTCCCTATGGTCAAGGACACAAGTGGGGCAGCCTCCCTCAATGCTGATATAAGGAATTAGTTATTATGCTATATAAACTCACAAATTATTATCATTATTACAGTCCTATAAGAGTCTTTATTATTACAGATCACGGGCTAGACTACGTGTTTGATGTGATCACGACACTTAATGTGAGTGATGTGACCTTCTTCCCGTCCCGCCTCACACACAGCTATGACCTTTATGCAGCCTCCTCTGACAAAGATGACATCTTCTTCCTTGATCTTCAAACTGGTGAGAAAAATATAACTGTATTGAAAGAAGACTCAAACTTCTTCTTTTCAGTGTGATATATTTGCTCTTTTATAGAGATTATCACTTCTTTTTAAATTTCACTGATTCTTTAATATCAGTGTATAACTTGTAAAAAAAAAAGGCCAATTCAGAGTACGGTAACTAATATATTTGATAAATTCATGCCTGGGAGAATATATTGAATATTGACAGTAGTACAATACATTTATTTTCCCAAAATAACTTGTTGGTGAATCAGTATACTGTACAGTACTGTAAACTGTATAATGTACTGCACAGTGATTTCCCTATTAGCCGGAACAATTGGCGCAGAGCACTTCCAGGAATGAGAAATTTCCAGGTCACTAAACGACTCTCAAACCTGGAAAAATCCCTTATCCTCAGATTTTTTGCAGGTGTTGGGAAAAGTTTCTCAGAATTTTCCGTAAATTGTGTATTATTCCATCCCTGGAATTTGCTCGCAGACCTGGAAAAAATGGAGAGAGTTTCAGAATTTCCAGAATGACGCATTATTTCATCCACGGAATTTGCTCCCAGGCCCAGAAAAAAGATTTGGAGAGAATTTCTGGAGTTTTCTTAGAATTCTCCAGAATTCCACATTGTTTTGTCCTCAGAATTTGCTCGCAAACCTGGAAAAAATGCACCCGGAAAAAGAAAGAAGTTTTCTGGAAAAATTCCAAGCAAATTTAAATTCCGGAGATTGGAGAGTTCCGGTTAAGAGGGATTCCGGCTAATGGAGATATTACTTTTATCTGCAGTATATTAATTGCCAAAAGTCTGTTTGTTATTAAGATATCCTAATATAAAATGTGTATGATCTCTGTACAGGTAAGGTGGAGATGATCACAGGTGTGGGCAAGGCAATGTTGCCTGGCCTGGCTGAGTGGAGCAACACCAACCGTGCCATCGTGTCATCAGGGGTGTTCGGCCACTACATGGTCTCCCCGGCTGAGGCAGCCATTTTCGTCATCAACGGAGAGACTCGCACCGTCAACTGTGAAATTGGTTCTCTCGTTCACCCCCGCCTGGCAGTGTGGATCACTAGGAAATACATGTAATATGAGAGACTGAGCAAAATACAACAACAAATTAACCCATTCCAAAAAACTTGTAAAAAATATATATAATGATAGTTAACTTGAAGCATGGTCAGAGATCATTACAAATTTGTTTGTAAATAAGAACCTGAATGTTCATGTAGGGTCTTTAAAATCACTTGAAATTTTGGTGAGTCTTGATGTTTAATTGAAAATATAAACTGACCGAGACATATGCATCCTTCAGAAGTTCTTTGCAAAATGGGTAAAAAAAAGTTATACTATTTTACAATACAAGAAATTGATAATAGTAATAACAATACTTCATCTCAAGTGAAAAACAGGAACACTGATGAAGAATTAAAGAGCCTTATGATGATGTAACCAGTAGCTCACCGCCGCTGTTGTCATATCCATAACATGTTCAAGGATGAATGACCTGACTGGCCACACAAGAGGAAACAGAACACCAAAAACATATCTTATGAGATTCTATTTCTAGTCCCTGGGAGTTGTTCATTCTACCTGTCAGAAATTAACAACGGGTATTACAATTTAGCTATGAAGTCAGTTTATCTAGGTATTGATGCAAATGCCCTCTTTATATCTAGTTTGCAGTACAGTATATCATCTCGTTATAGTTCTGTTTTTTATAAAATGTCAGACTCATTTCTATATTTATATACACACATATATATCCTTAATTTTTTTAACTTAAGTAATAGTAACGTGATGTACATTGCAGCATGACAGAAGATCAGTTACGTGAATTGTGTCACCCGCAGAATGTGAGGAAATATCGTGGGATAAATTTAGATTTTTCTACCAGTTTACAGTACTCTGATGCTTATGACCATCAGTAATCTGTTCTAATATAAGTTGTAACAAAATTTTAAAATTTAAATACTTTATTAGAAAATAATTGAGGTAAAGGTTTACTTTTTTCACATAAAACCAAGTCCTTCACTGACTAAGATTTCTGGGTCGTTTCTATAATACGTATTGACTCAAATTGGTAAATGATTATAGGTAACGAGAGGTGTGTATTAAGACAGTAAAGAGAAGAAAATATTATTTTTATTTGAGCTCCGGGTGTGGTTCTAGTCAGCATCATTTGTAACTGCTGCCTTCGTAACTGTCCTCCTTGCCTTGAAGATTCATTCATTGTCTTCATTTAAATGCTGCTGTTTTCTTAAAGTAAACTCTTTTATTTCCATGTCTTTAGTATCCCAAATTAACTCAATAGTTAGTTAAATTCTAAGTATATACAGTAGTGTCCTATTGTAGATTAACTAACGATTTCACAAGTAAAAATAAAACTACACCCACCTACAACGTTACATTGATACCTGACAATATATTACCTCAGTTTAATTGAATAACATAAGGTAACCTTTGATTTCATTAGACTGTCTAAATTTGTACCATATTGTATCCCCTCATTCTCAGTTCCTCAGTGAATATATATCATGAACAAAGATTAAGTGCCACTCCTAGCTTAGCTTATACTCCTTGCACAAAACAAATATCGGATTGTATTGTACCTTTATTCTACCTTTTCAAAAAAGAAAAGAAAAAGAACTGGCTATTTTTTACTCATTTATTTAATTATTTTTAAGGCGTTACCGTAGAAGCTACTGACTGATTCCCTCCGTGCTGTGGTCACCAAGGCTCTACAGTGGTTATTAGACACCAAGATAAAGAAAATACTGAAAGAATCTTGTGAGTGAGTCACTCCACGTTGTTTGAAGAATCACGCAGGTTTTATGTGTCTCGAATAGTTTTGGAACTAACTTGCATTAGATGAACCTCAAAGACATGCTTTATACTAAGCTTTTATTTGTATTTGCTGTTTCTGTATAGCTTGAAATCACTGTATCACTGATGACCATATTAAAGTCTGTATGTAGCGGCAGTTGGTTCTAAAACATGTACGTATACACTATAAAATGGGAGTTTCTTTCTTCAGCACGAGTCCAGCTTGTGATTCAGTGTAGTCTTCATATGTAGTGATGAGGCCAGCAGTTTTGAGCTTCAGAGCATGTGAAAGTGAAACTTACCCCCCCACCATCATGTTGCATATATGGAAACTACAGTGATCTTAGCCCCTCAGCAAGGCACGGTGTTGCTGGCTTCATGATTTCCCTTCAAATAGACTAAAAAAAACCTGTTTATTGCCTTACAAGTACAGGCTTGTGTTTGTATGTAACTACATCTTGTATATTGATGTCTGTATCAAAGAAACCTACTTCACTGACTAGTGTGGAGTAGCTTCAGTACTTTAAGAAACATTAGGATAAGTATAGTACGTCAAAATGTTGCAACGTCGTACTCTCAATTGCAAACAAAAGATCCAATGTGTACGTGTACTCAGTTGCTGTCACGGATTAGAATAGGATAAAGCATTAAGAATAAGTGTAAATACAAACATCCCGTTTCTAAATGTAGCTTTTGCCTTCCAAAATTACAGTTTAGAAAGTAGAATCTTAATTTTGTTGAGATTCATTCATACTCATAGTAACTAGCTAAACCAAAAAACATTGGAAAATGGAGGCTGTAAGCATGTATTGTCATATTTTGACTGGACTTGGGTGCAACCACTTTTTATATGTGCAGTACGAAGGCATCTACACTCACTCATATATCATGGGACACTCCTGGCACTGTTCCACATATCAGTTGTTTATTACACTATCACAGGGATTATAACACAGAATGGTCTCTCTCATGTTCACTCCTAGAAGTTTTTATTTCCAAATTTTAGGATTATGCATGATAAGAAAGTTTCACGGTAACTAAACGGTTGTACTCTGAGTGAATGTGAGAATTTTCATTCTCATTTGCAATGTACAGATAGCATGCAAGTGATTACATTGCGAAAATATCCCGAAAAAAGTATCTTATTGTTGATAGGCTGTAGGATAAGTCTCTTTCGATGCCCTGATTCACCGCTGACATTCACAACAAGTTAATCATAAAAAAATCAATATTCCAGATCATTGTTGAGAAATGACCTAATTAACTATGTTCATGATTTCATATGATCACGTACAATAATATTTTTATTAGAATTAATTATCCAATTTGCTCTGATTGTGTATGACCACAGTTGTCCAGTTATGTTAGTGAATAATGAGTATAAGAAACTAGTTAGTCAACGCCCTTCCACGAGCAGTTTGTTGTGTGAGATTCTGGCACTATCGAAGTGAGACTCTTAACACTACCGCAGCTGAGACTTGGTACTGCTGTAGCCAGAGAGAGATTCGTATCTCTTTAGTACAGCTGAGACTGGAACTGCCACAGCTGAGATATTGGTCCTGTTACAGCTGAGACATTAGTTCTACCGCTACCGAGAGACTCTTAGCACTGCCACAGCTCACATACTGCAGGACTGAGACTTGCTCTGCCGTCTTAGCTGAGAGACTTTGGCACTTACAGCAGCTGATGAAGTCCCCTAGCTAGTTCTCTCCTCCTCATCATCAGCAACAGTAGAGGCTCTATGCTGCCAGATATAACCCTCAGCTTGTTATATATTATTTTAATAGTGATAGTTCATTACCATCGGGTTGATCTTAGAATACATCAACCATTACCTAAATTTTAATTGCTTTTAACTAATCTATCCATGGTGAGATCAAATAGTGGTAAAAAGGAACTTCAAATACATTAATTTTCATTATGGAATAAAGACGAGCGATATGACTGCATCACAATATTCCCCCACAGCATATTAGAGGAAAAATTTTGGGTAATAAGCAAATTTACTCGATGCTAGTAAGTATAGAGAGCATTTCTAAAGAGATAGTTAATGTGGGGTTGTTATTTCCACATGTAGAGAGGATTAGTGCTGAACATATATAGTAAATATATGTTTTGGTTTTGCTTTGACAACTACTGAATTATATCAGTCATTATACAGTACAGTATCAGGAGTTTAAGACTAAGGAAAACAGTAAACTTTATAATTATTCTGAATTATAAAATTTTAGAAATGTTTTATCTGAGTCATAACTTGATAGATCTTACTCTGGACTACTAAAGAGCTTGTCTTCACATCAAAGTGATCAACCATATCGAAAGATGTATTTATGATTTCATCAATCATATACAGCATTTCAGGTCCTCTTCCTTTACATAATCAGTAGCCTACTTAAATCCTGTACAAGAATGACGGGATACATTGACAAATGTGAAGCTGTAACACTTTTAACAAAAATGGTGAAAGGAGGTGTTGTTCTAGCGACACTTAAACATAACTTATCATGAAGGAGAATGTCTCATGAGATGGTAGAAGTCTTACATAAGAGTTTTATAGGCTAAGTAGCTGTAATGTGGTCTTCGTTTTTCAAGCATATACTCGCGTGTCTCTCACAGGAATGATTAATGTTAACTTAAGAGAGGTTAGTAAGACCCCCCAACACTTGCCACTTTCTTTTACTTTCAAGACTCGCCCACATTGCCCACCCTACCCTTCCCTCTCCACCCAAGTTATTCCTTCTCTCTACCATCCAATCTTCTCTCCTTTCTCTATTAAGTTTAACTACCTGTTTAAAATTGTTTTCAAGAATGTAAATTTGTTGTACTGTATTATGATAACCATGAGTGGCAGGCATGAGATCTCCTCCCATAGTACAGGACTCCCAGTTCTTGCTTCACCAGATCAGAGCAAAAGGAGAGTTCTGTTATGTCACCTTTTTTTCTGAATCTAAATCTAATCACAACATTCAGGTGTGTGGGTGGTATATATAGTACAGTAAATATTGTAGAATATATGGTCATTGCAATGTTTATCATTGACAGGATGTATATGTATAAATGATAATAATCAGGGATGGCTGGTTGGATGAGCATATCATTATCTACCTTGGTGGACAACTGCATCAGATTTTACCAAAACAACAGCTGTCATGTAAAGTTTGGAAAAGTCTGACTTTGTGTGATGTATGTGATGAAATATGTGTGTGTGTGTGTGTGTGTGAGAAAGAGTGTGTTTGTGTGTGTGTGTGTGTGTGTATGTGTAATATATTGCAAGTTAATTATCAGTAGAATATTAGTGGTATTAGAGTAATGCATATGTAGGGTCTGTTTGTGTTGCATCAGGGAGTTTGAGTGTTAAACTGGTGGTCAGGATAAACGCTGCTGTATATGTTGTGTACCTGGACAAAGTTTCACCTAATAGTAAATAAGAGACGATTAAATGATGTGTGGTAGAGTAACAAACAAGAATAAAATTACAACAATTCATTCATGCGTGTGTGAGAATATCAGAGTAACTAATAAGAGAGGAGTAGAAGTAAGCAACTCACTCATGTGTGAGAGTAAGAGATTAACTAACAAGAGAGGAGTAGTAAGCATTCCACTCTTGGACGTGTGAGCACACTGGCTGGGTGAGGCAGGCAGAGGGCGTGTGGGCCTGGCGCTACAGATCGAGGATGTAAGACGTTATCCTAGGTTGATGCTGCTTGTACTCCCAGTGCTTGTGTATATCGTTGTATTTCTTACAACTGTGTGTACGCTATTCATAATATGTATTTAACTTTGTGATATGTACAACTGATTTTAATAAGACACACACGGATTACCAGTTTGTATTACTTTTCCTCAATTGTTTTTGTTTATCATTGAAAAAACCTGACTACTCTAGCTTACTATTGAAAATAAACTATTTGTATAACCTGATGTAGGTAATTTGTTAAGAACTACCTCAGGTCAAGAGAAATTTACTGGAAGACCAACAAATATAAACGTTATCTGTTTTTTATTCAAGGTTTGGTGTTGGGTTAACCACCCAGTAAATGTTAGTCAAATTGTGGATAGTATGGTTGCCGGCTGTGGATCTCACCTCCTTCTTCTCCATAGTGATGAGTTCATTGTTATTTGCCTGGCGTGAACTGTCTTCACTTATATGTTCCTACTGCTTTATAAGTATTGCACAGTACTGTACTGCTAATTTTGTCATAATTCTTAACATTGTACACGGGGGCCGTCCCAAGTTCGCAGTTCTCTATTATTCACGGATGACACCCTGGAGCCTTGCTGGTTGCCAAACTAGAACAAGTTGGGAAAGAGATCCTTGCTAAGACTGAGGAAGTAGCCGACAGAATGGAGGTGGTTTCTAAGAGGAGTTATGCTGAGGTATTAGCAGGGCCACGGGAGGTGGCGGAGAGTAATGCAGGATCAGAACAGGTTCTACAGCAGCTAGGGACTCTGAAGAAGTGTGTCGAAGAAATGAAAATTAACGAACCTACTGTTAGGGGAGAGGAGGAACAACAGGATCATTTCCAGCGCAGGAACAATGTAATAGTTTTTGGAGTCCCTGAGAGCCAGGTAGAGGGAACTGAGAGTAAGATAACACACGATAAGATGCAGTTTAAGAATATTTGTACAGAGGTTCTGAAGATGCCATCAACCCCTCAGGATGTGATGAGGTTGGACAAAAGCATGGGGATAAGCCTTGCCCCCTCAGGATCACACTAGTGAGTGAGGAGGAGAAATGGGAGGCTATTCGGCAGGCAAAAAAATTTGCAAGGAGTGAGGCATTTCGCAGTGTATTCATTCACCCAGATCGCATGGTAATGCAGAGGGAACAGCACAAGAAGCTCCTGCAGGGCTTGAAGAAGAGAAGGGAAGAGTCGAGGAGGAACGGGGACGGGTGTACATGGGCTATATTCAGGGAGAGGGTAGCGGAAGCAAGTGTGCCGACACGGGCACCGCCATCTCTGGGAGGGCCCCTGGGAGCGCCCCTGTCCCAGGGAGCATACTGGCTTGCGCTACCGCCCTTGGCAGAGCCCCTGCAGGCGCTGCTGTTCCTGGGAGAGCCCCTGAGAGCGCCAATGTCCCTGGAAGAGACTCTAGGGGTGCCACCGCCCATGGCACGGTCCCTGGGAGAGCTCCCGTCCCTGGGAGGGCCGTGGTTGCAGTAGTTTTGCGCTATTTAGAGCTCTGGGAGAAGCGACATTAAATAAATACACCACCACACATCACATTTCTAGTATCATCTCATTCTGAAGAAGGTAATGGAGAATAATATCCAACAGGAAAGCATAAGTTGAGGTGTTGTGCTGACTGCCAGCTCTCTGCTCCTATTGGCTGTAATTTGGTGGGTTAAAAGAATAGTCCACCAATCACAGTTAAGTAAGGGACTGCTGGAAGTATGTAATATATATATATGACACTATGGACAATCTTGCCATAGGGCTCCTGGGGACCCTTGGTACGATTTCTGGGGTCGGCGCTTCCCCTGGGAGGGTCCCTGGGAGCTCCGCTGTCCATGACATGGCGCCAGTGGACGCCACCGCTCCTGAGAGGTTCTCTGGGAGCGCTGCTGTCCCAGGAAGAGCCCCTGGTGGCGTTAGCGCCCCTGGCAAAGCCTCTGAGTTCCCCGCAGTCTCTGGCAAGGAACCAGGGGACGCCAACGCTCCTTGTAGGATCCCTGGGGGTGCTCACGTGCCTGGGAGGGCCCCTGAGCTACCGATGGTCCTGTGAGTGTCCCTGATGGCGCCATCGTCTCTGGCAAGGCCCCTTCGGGCGCCATCGCCATTGAAGGGCACCTGGAGGCGCCGATGTCCCTCAGAGGACTCCTGGGACGCCGCTCTCACTGGAAGAGTCCCCAGGGTGCCGCAGCCCCTGGGAGGGTCCCTGCAAGTGCTCCCGTCTCTGGGAAGGCCCCTGGTTGCAGTACTTTTTGCTCTATTTAGAGCTCTGGGAGAAGCAACGTTAACCAAATACACCGCCGCCCATCACATTTCCAGTATCATCACATTCTGAAGAAGGTAATGGAGAATAATATCCAACAGGAAAACATAAGTCGAGGTGTTGTGCTGACTGACTGCTCTCTGCTCCTATTGGCTGTAATTTGGTGGGTTAAAGAATAGTCCACTAATCACAGTTAAGTAAGGGACTGCTGGAAGAATGTAATATATATATGACACTATGGACAAGCTTGCCATAGGGCTCCTGGGGACCCTTGGTACGATCCCTGGGGTCGGCGCTTCCCCTGGGAGGGTCCCTGGGAGCTCTGCTGTCCATGACATGGACCCAGTGGACGCCACCGCTCCTGAGAGGTTCTCTGGGAGCGCTGCTGTCCCAGGAAGAGCCCCTGGTGGCGTTAGTGCCCCTGGCAAAGCCTCTGAGGGCCCCACCGTCTCTGGCAAGGCCCCAGGGGACGCAAACGCCCCTTGCAGGACCCCTGGGGGTTCTGACGTGCCTCGAAGTGTCCCTGAGCCACCGATGGCCCTGAGAGTGTCCCTGAGGGCGCCACCGCCTCTGGCAAGGCCCCTAGGGGCGCTACCACCCCTTGAAGGGCACCTGGAGGCGCCGATGTCCCTCAGAGGACTCCTGGGACGCCGCTGTCACTGGAAGAGTCCCCAGGGTGCAAAAGTCCCTGGGAGGGTGCCTGCAAGTGCTCCCGTCTCTGGGAAGGCCCCTGGTTGCAGTAGTTTTTGCACTATTTAGAGCTCTGGGAGAAGCAACGTTAAATAAACACACCGCCACCCATCACATTTCCAGTATCATCACATTCTGAAGAAGGTAATGGAGAATAATATCCAACAGGAAAACATAAGTCGAGGTGTTGTGCTGACTGACTGCTCTCTGCTCCTATTGGCTGTAATTTGGTGGGTTAAAGAATAGTCCACCAATCACAGATAAGTAAGGGACTGCTGGAAGTATGTAATATATATATGACACTATGGACAAGCTTACCATAGGGCTCCTGGGGTCCCTTGGTACGATCCCTGGGATCGGCGCTTCCCCTGGGAGGGTCTCTGGGAGCTCTGCTGTCCATGACATGGCCCCAGTGGACGCCACCGCTCTTGAGAGGGTCACTGGGGGCGATGCTGTCCCAGAGAGAGCCCCGGGGAGCGCCGCCGTCCCTGAGAGGGTTCCTGGGAGGGTTCCTGGGAGCACCGCTGTCTCTGGGAGGGCTCCTGTGAGTGCCGATGACCCTCAGAGAGCCCCTTGGGGGGAGGGAGGGGGGGCCAGTGCCCCAAGCAGGGCCCTTAGGGGAGCCAACGCCTCTGGCAGGACCCATGGAGGCGCTTCCGTCCCTGAGAGTGTCCCTGGGAGCGTCGCTGAGCCTCAAGGGCCCCTGGGGCACTGCTGTCCCTGCTAAGTCCCCTGGGAGCACCGTTGTCGCTGGGAGAACCCCTGGGAGTGCCACTGCCCCTGGCAAGGTGTCTGGGAGCGCCGGCGTTTGTGGAAAGGCCCCTGAGGGTGCTGCCATCCCTAGAAGGGCCCCTGGGCGCACCGAAGTCGCAGGGAGAGCCCCTTGTGGCGCCAGCGCCCCTGGCAAGGCCTCTGAGTTCCCCACCGTCTCTGGCAAGGAACCAGGGGACGCCAACGTCCCTTGCAGGACCCTTGGGGGTGCTCACGTGGCTGGGAGGGCCCCTGAGCTACCGATGGCCCTGTGAATGTCCCTGATGGCGCGATCGCCTCTGGCAAAGCCCCTTGGGGTTCCACCGCCATTGAAGGGCACCTGGAGGCGCCGATGTCCCTCAGAGGACTCCTGGGATGCCGCTGTCACTGGAAGAGTCCCCAGGGTGCCGCAGCCCCTGGGAGGGTCCCTGCAAGCGCTCCCGTCTCTGGGACGGCCCCGAGTTGCAGTAGTTTTTGCTCTATTTAGAGCTCTGGGAGAAGCAACGCTAAGCAAATAAACCGCCGCTCATCACATTTCCAGTATCATCGCATTCTGGAGAAGGTAATGGAGAATAATATCAACAGGAAAACATAAGTTGAGGTGATGTGCTGACTGACTGCTCTCTGCTCCTATTGGCTGTAATTTGGTGGGTTAAAAGAATAGTCCACCAATCACAGTTAAGTAAGGGACTGCTGGATGTATGTAATATATATATGACACTATGGGCAATCTTGCCATAGGGCTCCTGGGGACCCTTGGTACGATTTCTGGGGTCGGCGCTTCCCCTGGGAGGGTCCCTGGGAGCTCCGCCGTCCATGACATGGCCCCAGTGGACGCCACCGCTCCTGAGAGGGTCTCTGGGAGAGCTGCTGTCCCAGGAAGAGCCCCTGGTGACGATAGCGCCCCTGGCAAGGCCTCTGAGGGCCCCACCGTCTCTGGCAAGGCCCCAGGGGCCGCGAACGCCCCTTGCAGGACCCCTGGGGGTGCTGAAGTGCCTGGAAGGGCCCCTGAACCACCGATGGCCCTGTGAGTGTCCCAGATGGCGCCACCACCTCTGGCAAGGCTCCTGGGGGCGCCACCGCCCCTTGAAGGGCACCTGGATGCGCCGATGTCCCTCAGAGGACTCCTGGGACGCTGCTGTCACTGGAAGAGTCCTGAGGGTGCAAAAGTCCCTAGGAGGGTCCCTGCAAGCGCTCCCGTGTCTGGGAAGTCCCCTGGTTGCAGTAGTTTTTGCACTATTTAGAGCTCTGGGAGAAGCAACGTTAAATAAACACACCGCCACCCATCACATTTCCAGTATCATCACATTCTGAAGAAGGTAATGGAGAATAATATCCAACAGGAAAACATAAGTCGAGGTGTTGTGCTGACTGACTGCTCTCTGCTCCTATTGGCTGTAATTTGGTGGGTTAAAGAATAGTCCACCAATCACAGTTAAGTAAGGGACTGCTGGAAGTATGTAATATATATATGACACTATGGATAAGCTTACCATAGGGCTCCTGGGGACCCTTGGTACGATCCCTGGGGTCGGCGCTTCCCCTGGGAGGGTCTCTGGGAGCTCTGCTGCCCATGACATGGCCGCAGTGGACGCCACCGCTCTTGAGAGGGTCGCTGGGAGCGCTGCTGTCCCAGAGAGAGCCCCGGGGAGCGCCGCCGTCCCTGGCAGGGTTCCTGGGAACACCGCTGACTCTGGGAGGGCTCCTGTGAGTGCCGATGACCCTCAGAGAGCCCCTTGGGGGGGGGGGGGCCAGTGCCCCTAGCAGGGCCCTTAGGGAAGCCAACGCCTCTGGCAGGGCCCAAGGAGGCGCTTCCATCCCTGAGAGGGTCCATGGGAGCGTCGCTGAGCCTCAAGGGCCCCTGGGGGCACCGCTGTCCCTGCTAAGTCCCCTGGGAGCACCGCTGTCGCTGGGAGAACCCCTGGGAGTGCCACTGCCCCTGGCAAGGTGCCTGGGAGTGCCGGCGATTGTGGAAAGGCCCCTGAGGGTGCTGCCATCCCTAGAAGGGCCCCTGGGAGCACCGATGTCCCAGGGAGAGCCCCTGGTGGCGCCAGCGCCCCTGGCTAGGCCTCTGAGTTCCCCACCGTTTCTGGCAAGGAACCAGGGGACGCCAACGCCCCTTGCAGGACCCTTGGGGGTGCTCACGTGCCTGGGAGGGCCCCTGAGCTACCGATGGCCCTGTGAGTGTCCCTGATGGCGCTATCGTCTCTGGCAAGGCCCCTTGGGGCGCCACCGCCATTGAAGGGCACCTGGAGACGCCGATGTCTCTCAGAGTACTCCTAGGACGCCGCTGTCACTGGAAGAGTCCTGAGGGTGCAAAAGTCCCTAGGAGGGTCCCTGCAAGCGCTCCCGTTTCTGGGAAGGCCCCTGTTGCAGTAGTTTTTGCTCTATTTAGAGCTCTGGGAGAAGCAACGTTAACCATATACACCGCCGCCCATCACATTTCCAGTATCATCGCATTCTGGAGAAGGTAATGGAGAATAATATCAACAGGAAAACATAAGTTGAGGTGCTGTGCTGACTGACTGCTCTCTGCTCCTATTGGCTGTAATTTGGTGGGTTAAAGAATAGTCCACCAATCACAGTTAAGTAAGGGACTGCTTGAGGTATATAATATACAGTGTATGACACGACGGTTAAGCATGTCGTAGGGCCCACCGGGACCCTTGGTACGGTCCCTGGGGTCGGCGCCAGCCCTGGGAGCTCTGCTCTCCCTGGCTACCATCCTGGAGAGGGCCCTTGGGTGCAACGCTTTCCCTGGGAGGGCCCCTGGGTTCTCCACCGTCCCTGGCAAGACCCTGGGAGCACCAATGTCCTTGGGAGAACCTATGTGAGCGCCGCTGTCGCTGGCAGAGCCCCTGGGAACGCGCCACTGCCCTTGGCCAAGCCCCTGGGAGTGCTGCCGTTTCTGGGAGGACCCCTTGGAAGGCCACTGTCCCAGGGAGAGAACTTGGGGGCGCCAGCACCACTGGCAAGGCCCCTGAAGGCGCCACTGCCTCTGGCAAGGCCCTTGAGGACGCCACTGCCTCTGGCAAGGTCCCTGGGGGCACCACCGCCTGTTGCAGGGCCCCTGGGTGTGCCGTCGTCCATGGGAGGGCCCCTGGGGCGCTGCTGTCACTGGGAGAGTCAATGGGGGCACCGCCATCTCTGGGAGGGCCCCTGGGAGCGTCCTTGTCCTTGGAAGCGTCCTGGCTTGCGCTACCGCCCTTGGCTCGGTCCCCGCGGGCGCTGCTGTTCCTGGGAGAGCCCCTGAGAGGGCCAATGTCCCTAGATGAGCCTGTAGGGGTGCCACCGCCCATGGCACGGGCCCTGGGAGAACTCCTGTCCCTGGGAGGATCCCTACAAGAGCTCATGTCCCTGGGAGGGCCGTGGTTGCAGTAGTTTTGCGCTATTTAGAGCTCTGGGAGAAGCGACGTTAAATAAATACACCACCACCCATCACATTTCTAGTATCATCGCATTCTGAAGAAGGTAATGGAGAATAATATCCAACAAGAAAGCATAAGTTGAGGTGTTGTGCTGACTGCCAGCTCTCTGCTCCTATTGGCTGTAACTTGGTGGGTTAAAAGAATAGTCCACCAATCACAGTTATGTAAGGGACTGCTGGAAGTATGTAATATATATATGACACTATGGACAATCTTGCCACAGGGCTCCTCGGGACCCTTGGTACGATTTCTGGGGTCGGCGCTTCCCATGGGAGGTTCCCTGGGAACTCCGCTGTCCATGACATGGCCCCAGTGGACGCCACCGCTCCTGAGAGGGTCTCTGGGAGCGCTGCTGTCCAAGGACGAGCCCCTGGTGGCGTTAGCGCCCCTGGCAAGGCCTCTGAGGGCCCCACAGTCTCTGGCTAGGCCCCAGGGGACGCGAACGCCCCTTGCAGGACCCCTGGAGGTGCTGACGTGCTTGGGAGGGCCCCTGAGCCATCGATGGCCCTGTGAGTGTCCCTGATGGTGCCACCGCCTTTGGCAAGGCCCCTGGGGGCGCCACCGTCCCTTGAAGGGCACCTGGAGGCGCCGATGGCCCTCAGAGGACTCCTGGGACGCCGCTGTCACTGGAAGAGTCCCCAGGGTGCAAAAGTCCCTGGGAGTGTCCTTGGAAGCGCTCCCGTCTCTGGGAAGGCCCCTGGTTGCAGTAGTTTTTGCTCTATTTAGAGCTTTGGGAGAAGCAACGTTAACCAAATACACCGCCGCTCATCACATTTCCAGTATCATCGCATTCTGAAGAAGGTAATGGAGAATAATATCCAACAGGAAAACATAAGTTGAGGTGTTGTGCTGACTGCCAGCTCTCTGCTCCTATTGGCTGTAACTTGGTGGGTTAAAAGAATAGTCCACCAATTACAGTTACGTAAGGGACTGCTGGAAGTATGTAATATATATATGACACTATGGATAAGCTTACCATAGGGCTCCTGGGGTCCCTTGGTACGATCCCTGGGGTCGGCGCTTCCCCTGGGAGGGTCTCTGGGAGCTCTGCTGCTGTCTCAGAGAGAGCCCCAGGGAGCGCCGCCGTCCCTGGCAGGGTTCCTGGGAGCACCGCTGTCTCAGGGAGGTCTCCTGTGAGTGCGGATGACCCTCCGAGAGCCCCTTGGCGGGAGAGGGGTGGGGGGGCAGTGCGCCTAGTAGGGCCCTTAGGGGAGCCAACGCCTCTGACAGGGCCCATGGAGGCGCTTCCGTCCCTGAGAGGGTCCCTGGGAGCGTCACTGAGCCTCAAGGGCCCCTGGGGGCACCGCTGTTCCTGCTAAGTCCCCTGGGAGCACCGCTGTCGCTGGGAGAACCCCTGGAAGTGCCACTGCCCCTGGCAAGGTGCCTGGGAGCGCCGGCGTTTGTGGGAAGGCCCCTGAGGGTGCTGCAATCCCTAGAAGGGCCCCTGGGAGCACCGAAGTCCCAGGGAGAGCCCCTGGTGGCGCCAGCGCCCCTGGCAAGGCCTCTGAGTTCCCCACCGTCTCTGGCAAGGAACCAGGGGACGCCAACGCCCCTTGCAGGACCCTTGGGGGTGCTCACGTGCCTGGGAGGGCCCCTGAGCTACCGATGGCCCTGTCAGTGTCCCTGATGGCACCATCGCCTCTGGCAAGGCCACTTGGGGCTCTACCGCCATTTAAGGACACCTGGAGGGGCCGATGTCCCCCAGAGGCCTCCTGGGACGCCGCTGTCACTGGAAGAGTCCCCAGGGTGCCGCAACCCCTGGGAGGGTCCCTGCAAGCGCTCCCGTCTCTGGGAAGGCCCCTGGTTGCAGTAGTTTTTGCTCTATTTAGAGCTCTGGGAGAAGCAACGTTAACCAAACACACCGCCGCCTATCACATTTCCAGTATCATCGTATTCTGGAGAAGGCAATGGAGAATAATATCAACAGGAAAACATAAGTTGAGGTGTTGTGCTGACTGACTGCTCTCTGCTCCTATTGGCTGTAATTTGGTGGGTTAAAGAATAGTCCACCAATCACAGTTAAGTAAGGGACTGCTTGAGGTATATAATATACAGTGTATGACACGACGGTTAAGCATGTCGTAGGGCCCACCGGGACCCTTGGTACGGTTCCTGGGGTCGGCGCCAGCCCTGGGAGCTCTGCTGTCCCTGGCTACCATCCCGGAGAGGCCCTGTCCCTGAGGCCCTGCGCACACTGTCCCGACAAGACCCTGGGAGCACCAGTGTCCTTGAGAGCCCTTTACAGATGTGTCGCGCCACTGCCCTTGCAAAGCCCTGGAGCTGGGAGACCCTTTGAAACTGTCCAGGGGGAACTTGCCACCACTGGCAAGGCCCCTGAAGCCGCCACTGCCTCTGGCAAGGCCCTTGAGGACGCCACTGACTCTGGCAAGGTCCCTGGGGGCACCACCGCCTGTTGCAGGGCCCCTGGGTGTGCCGTCGTCCATGGGAGGGCCCCTGGGGCGCTGCTGTCACTGGGAGAGTCAATGGGGGTACCGCCATCTCTGGGAGGGCCCCTGGGAGCGTCCTTGTCCCTGGGAGCGTCCTGGCTTGCGCTACCGCCCTTGGCACGGTCCCTGCAGGCGCTGCTGTTCCTCGGAGAGCCCCTGAGAGAGCCAATGTCCCTGGATGAGCCTGTAGGGGTGCCACCGCCCATGGCACGGGCCCTGGGAGAACTCCTGTCCCTGGGAGGATCCCTACAAGAGCTCATGTCCCTGGGAGGGCCGTGGTTGCAGTAGTTTTGCGCTATTTAGAGCTCTGGGAGAAGCGACGTTAAATAAATACACCACCGCCCATCACATTTCTAGTATCATCACATTCTGAAGAAGGTAATGGAGAATAATATCCAACAGGAAAGCATAAGTTCAGTTGTTGTGCTGACTGACTGCTCTCTGCTCCTATTAGCTGTAACTTGGTGGGTTAAAAGAATAGTCCACCAATCACAGTTATGTAAGGGACTGCTGGAAGTATGTAATATATCTATGACACTATGGACAATCTTGCCATAGGGCTCCTGGGGACACTTGGTTCGATTTCTGGGGTCGGCGTTTCCCCTGGGAGGTTCCCTGGGAACTCCGCTGTCCATGACATGGCCCCAGTGGACGCCACCTCTCCTGAGAGGGTCGCTGGGAGCGCTGCTGTCCCAGAGAGAGCCCCGGGGAGCGCCGCCGTCCCTGGCAGGGTTCCTGGGAGCACCGCTGTCTCTGGGAGGGCTCCTGTGAGTGCCGATGACCCTCAGAGAGCCCCTTTGGGGGAGGGGGGGTGGCAGTACCCCTAGCAGGGCCCTTAGGGGAGCCAACGACTCTGGCAGGGCCCATGGAGGCGCTTCCGTCCCTGAGAGGGTCCCTGGGAGCGTCGCTGAGCCTCAAGGGACCCTGGGGCACCGCTGTCCCTTCTAAGTCCCCTGGGAGCACCGTTGTCGCGGGGAGAACCCCTGGGAGTGCCACTGCCCCTGGCAAGGTGCCTGGGAGCGCCGGCGTTTGTGGAAAGGCCCCTGAGGGTGCTGCCATCCCTAGAAGGGCCCCTGGGCGCACCGAAGTCGCAGGGAGAGCCCCTTGTGGCGCCAGCGCCCCTGGCAAGGCCTCTGAGTTCCCCACCGTCTCTGGCAAGGAACCAGGGGACGCCAACGTTCCTTGCAGGACCCCTTGGGCTGCTCACGTGCCTGGGAGGGCCCCTGAGCTACCGATGGCCCTGTGAGTGTCCCTGATGGCGCTATCGTCTCTGGCAAGGCCCCTTGGGGCGCCACCGCCATTGAAGGGCACCTGGATGCGCCGATGTCCCTCAGACGACTCCTGGGACGCCGCTGTCACTGGAAGAGTCCCCAGGGTGCCGCAGCCCCTGGGAGGGTCCCTGCAAGCGCTCCCGTCTCTGGGACGACCCCCGTTTGCAGTAGTTTTTGCACTATTTAGAGCTCTGGGAGAAGCAACGTTAAATAAACACACCGCCACCCATCACATTTCCAGTATCATCACATTCTGAAGGAGGTAATGGAGAATAATATCAACAGGAAAACATAAGTTGAGGTGTTGTGCTGACTGACTGGTCTCTGCTCCTATTGGCTGTAATTTGGTGGGTTAAAGAATAGTCCACCAATCACAGTTAAGTAAGGGACTGCTTGAGGTATATAATATACAGTGTATGACACGACGGTTAAGCATGTCGTAGGGCCCACCGGGACCCTTGGTACGGTCCCTGGGGTCGGCGCCAGCCCTGGGAGCTCTGCTCTCCCTGGCTACCATCCCGGAGAGGGCCCCTGGGTGCAACGCTGTCCCTGGGAGGGCCCCTGGGTTCTCCACCGTCCCTGGCAAGACCCTGGGAGCACCAGTGTCCTTGGGAGAGCCTATGTGAGCGCCGCTGTCGCTGGCAGAGCCCCTGGGAAGCCACTGCTCTTGGCCAAGCTCTAGGAGTGCTGCGCTTCTGGGAGGCCCCGGAAGGCCACTGTCCAGGAGAGAACTTATGGGCGCCAGCACCACTGGCAGTGCTCCTAGTGCCACTGCCTGGCAGCCCTCTGAGGACGCCACTGCCTCTGGCAGGTCCCTGGGGGCACCACCGCCTGTTGCAGGCCCTGGGTGCTGGACATGGGAGGGCCCTGGCACGCCATTGACTGGAAGAGTCCCCAGGTTGCAAAGTCCGATGTCCCCGCGCTCCTGTCTCTGGGAATGCCCCTGGTTGCAGTAGTTTTGCTCTATTTGAGCTCTGGGAGAAGCAATTTAAATATAACACCGCCAATCACATTTTGTATCATTACATTCTGGAGAAGGTATATATTATCAACAGGAAAACATAAGTTGAGTGTGTTGACTTGACTGCCTTCGCTCCTATTGTTGTAATTTGGTGGGCAAAGAATAGTCCTCCAATCATGAGGGACTGCTTGAGGTACATTATATACAGTGTATGACAGACGGTTAAGATGTCAGGGGCCCACTGGGACCTTTGGTATTGTCCCTGGGGTCGGCGCGACACTCTGGGAGTTTGCTGTCTCTGGCTACTCATCCCAGAGGGCCCCTGCGTCGCTGTCCGAGGGCCCCTGGGTTCAAGCACTGTCCCTGGGCAGGCCCTGGGAGCACCAATGGTCCTTGGGAGAGCCTATGTGAGCGCCGCTGTCGCCAGCAGAGCCCCTGAGGCTGCCGTTTCTGGGAGGACCCCTTGAAGGCCACTGTCCCAGGGGAGAACCTGGGGCCAGCACACACTGGCAAGGCCCCTGAAGCTGCCACTGCCTCTGGTGGCGCTCCTTAAGGACGCCACTGCTCTATGTCCTGGGGCACCACCGCCTGCTTAGGCCCTGGGTGCGCTGTCGTCCATGGAGGGTCCCTGGGGCGCTGCTGCCTGGGAGAGTCAATGGGGCACCTGCCATCTCTGAGGGCCTTTGGGAGCGTCCCTGTCCCTGGGAGCGTCCTGGCTTGCTGCAGCCTTGGCACGGTCACTGAGGGCGCTGCTGTTCCTGGGAGAGCCCCTGAGTCTGTCCCCGATGAGCCTGTGGGTGCCACCGCCCATGGCACGGGCCCTGGGAGAACTCCTGTCCTGGGAGGATCCCAAGCGCCATGTCCCTGAGGCCGTGGTTGCAGTAGTTTTGCACTATTTAGAGCTCTGGGAGAAGCAGCGTTAATAAATACACCGCCGCTCATCACATTTCCAGTATCATCGCATTCTGGAGAAGGCAATGGAGAATAATATCAACAGAGAAACATAAGTTGAGGTGTTGTGCTGACTGACTGCTCTCTGCTCCTATTGGCTGTAATTTGGTGGGTTAAGAATAGTCCACCAATCACAGTTAAGTAAGGACTGCTTGAGGTATATAATATACAGTGTATGACACGAAGGTTAAGCATGTCGTAGGGCCCACGGGACCCTTAGTATGGTCCCTGGGGTCGGCGCCAGCCTGGAGCTCTGCTCTCCTGGCTACCACTCCGGAGAGGGCCCCTGGGTGCAACCTTTGTCCTGAGGAGGGCCCTGGGTTCTCCACCGTCCCTGGCAAGACCCTGGGAGCACCAGTCGCTGAGCCTATGTGAGCGCCGCTGTCGCTGGCGGGGCCTGGGAACACGCCACTGCCCTTGGCCAGCCCTAGGGAGTGCTGCCGTTTCTGGGAGGACCCCAGAGGCCACTGTCCCAGGGAGAACTTATGGGCGCCAGCACCACTGGCAAGGCCCCCTGAAGGCGCCACTGCCTCTGGCAAGGCCCATGAGACGCCACTGCCTCTGGCAAGGTCCCTGGGGGCACCACCGCCTGTTGCAGGGCCCCTGGGTGTGCCGTCGTACATGGGAGGCCCCTGGGACGCCGCTGTTACTGGAAGAGTCCCCAGGGTGCAAGTCCTGGGAGTGTCCTACGCGCTCCGTCTCTGGAATGCCCCTGGTTGCAGTAGTTTTGCTCTATTTAGAGCTCTGGGAGAAGCAACGTTAAATAACACCGCCACCCATCACATTTCCAGTATCATCGCATTCTGAAGAAGGTAATGGAGAATAATATCAACAGGAAAACATAAGTTGAGGTGTTGTGCTGACTGACTGCTCTCTTCGCCCTATTGGCTGTAATTTGGTGGGTTAAAGAATAGTCCACCAATCACAGTTAAATAAGGGACTGCTTGAGGTATATAATATACAGTGTATGACACGACGGTTAAGCATGTCGTAGGGCCCACCGGGACCCTTGGTACGGTCCCTGGGGTCGGCGCCAGCCCTGGGAGCTCTGCTGTCCTGGCTACCATCCCGGAGAGGGCCTGGGTGCGTCGCTGTCCTGGGGAGGGCCTGGGTTCTCCACCGTCCTGGCAAGGCCCTGGGAGCACCAATGTCCTTGGGAGAGCCCAGTAGGCGCCGCTGTCGCTGGCAGAGCCTGGGAGGGCTGCCGTTTCTGGGAGGGACCCTTGGAGGGCCACTGTCCCAGGGGAACCTGGGGGCGCCAGCACCACTGGCAAGGCCCCTAGAGCCGCCACTGCTCTGGCAAGGCCCTTAAGGACGCCACTGCCTCTGGCAAGGTCCCTGGGGGCACCACCGCCTGTTGCAGGGCCCCTGGGTGCGCTCGTCCATGGGGAGGTCCTGGGGCGCTGCTGTCACTGGGAGTCAATGGGGCCACCGCCATCTCTGGGGGCCCTTGGGGCGTCCCTGTCCCTGGGAGCGTCCTGGCTTGCGCTACCGCCTTTGGCACAGTCCCTGCGGGCGCTGCTGTTCCTGGGAGAGCCCCTGAGTCTGCCAATGTCCCTGGATGAGCCTGTAGGGGTGCCACCGCCCATGGCACGGGCCTGGGAGAACTCCTGTCCCTGGGAGGATCCCTACAAGCGCTCATGTCCCTGGGAGGGCCGTGGTTGCAGTAGTTTGCACTATTTAGAGCTCTGGGAGAAGCAACGTTAAATAAATACCCACCGCCCATCACATTTCTAGTATCATCACATTCTGAAGAAGGTGGAGAATAATATACAACAGGAAAGCATAAGTTGAGGTGTTGCTGACTGCAGCTCTTCTCACTCTTGGCTGTAACTTGGTGGGTTAAAAAGATAGTCCACCAATCACAGTTAAGTAAGGGACTGCTGGATGTATGTAATATATATATGACACTATGGACAATCTTGCCATAGGGCGAGGGACCCTTGGTACGATTTCTGGGGTCGGCACTTCCCTGGGAGGTCCCTGGGAGCTCCGCTTGTCCATGACATGGCCCCAGTGGACATAACCAAAA